TCTAACATTAGTCAAATTATAGTCTTGCATAGCCAGACCGATAGCTAGTTTGCACTGTGCCAGTGTTGGAGGGTCCAATATAGTCTAAAATATAGTTTATAGTCAAACTATAATAACAGTGTAACTTTAGTTGCCTCATCTATAGAAATGTTGCCGGTCAATCACATACAGTCTTCTGTATGCCATGTTACTATTTTGGCCGACGCCCCGGATGCTTGATTGCACCTACCTACAGCAACAGAATGCTGACTGCAGTTCACTTAATGGCCACATGGCCACCGGTGTCATTACTAACAAGGGGTTTCTGAATGTTACATATAGTACCTTTAAGTGCAATTCTTTTGATTTGAAAACTTGATTTTCAGTATTTGTGCACTTATCAGTACAATGTTGCCTACACAGCTATTTCTATAAATGTAAATAATATTTATTTTGTTTGTTTGTTTTTACCTTTACCTCTTTTTTTTAACTTCACTGTGAGTATATGAGTCATTATTAAAGTCATATATAATTTCCCCTAGGGGATAAATAAAGTATCTATCTATCTATCTATCTATCTATCTATCTATCTATCTATCTATCTATCTATCTATCTATCTATCTATCTATCTATCTATCTATCTATCTATCTGTCTATCTGTCTATCTGTCTGTCTGTTAACGAACAAAACCTACTTTTAAGGAATCTGAAACACGACATGGAACCAGGCAAAATGAGTTTCATCTATATTTAGTCCACAGTCACAGCCCCCTGTTGGACCACATTATAGCAGAATGAGAGTCTTCTGACCTGATTTTTGCCTGAAACCCTGTAGAAATCTATTCGGTGCAAGAGGCTACACTTGAAACCTGACACAAAACTCACTGAAATGTGTGCAGGTGTTATGTTGCTGGAACTTTGAAAATGCGGACGATTAAGAACGTATTTTAAAATAAAGGTCATAACATTAAGTGTTCATCTTAAGCAGCGTTTTTAGGTTAAGACTCCAATAAGTAGTTACACACTTGCATCACTCCTCCTGTGTCCTAACCTCTTAATTAATTGTTCTATTATTTTTAAAAGAATATAAAGTGATTCAGTATGTTACATCTGTCAGGTTCCACTCTCAGAGGATGACTGTGCATTATCGAGCGGGTACGCTGCAGCCATGGACGCAGCCATGCATGGCAACCATTTTGGAGCGGGGCATCACCAGGACCCTGATGAAACCACACCCTCCGACGCGTCGGAACGTCCATCTGTGGATGATGTGGAATCAGATACTGGTTCCACTGGTGCCTTGGAAACCCGCAGCCTCAAGGACCACAAAGGTAACACTGTCATCATAGTTTGCAGTTTGGTGTATGCACTCAAATCATCAGAGGTAGAAATTCAGTTTCTTACACTAATTGTTAAGACAATACTCAGCAATTCAGATATTGTTTTTGCCAACTGTTTGATTGCATGTTACTCCCTTCTCTTGTAATTGAAGCAAATATTAAAGAATAGACTTAAATTCTTTTTGTGGATTTGAAAGGGATTTTATTTCCATTTTCACAAGTCACTTCTATTCTAGTAAAGAGTACAGTATATTTCACGTGCAAACAAATCTTTTATATAGCATTACATAACAAAATAATGACTTTATAGGCCATATAACACAACCGAGTCTAAAGTCCTGCTGCTGCCCTCTGGAGGCCATGTTGCAACATAGACCCAACCAGACGAAAGTGGTTTTGAATGGATCAGTTCAAAATTCAATTCGAATATCAATTTGATAAGGGAGCTATCTCATGAAATCATAATAATTCATTCATAAAACTAGTAGTTGGATGATTGGATAGTGTTGGTCAACAAGGTCCCAATATTCCTGCTGTGTGTCTGCCTCCTGCAGTGGGCTTTCTGCAGAGTGGAACAAAGCTGCTATTCCGCAGAAGACATCGAGAGAAGGAGTCCTGCCTCAGCCAATCCCATGAAGACATCTCTAATATGGGCAATAACTTTGCTGCTGCCGCAGCCAGCAGCCACAAAAAGTCTGGCAGCTTCTCCCGGCGTCTCATCAAACGCTTCTCTTTCCGCTCATCAGGCAAATCAAAAGGCAAAGGCAATGCTGCCAACGGAGGAGCGAGCTCAATGGATAACTGATTATCATTGTTTGGTTAGGACATGGGTCATCCTGACTTAATAAGATTGTTCGAAAGCCTCTGTTGATACTGTCAGGAGAACAACTAAACCTTGTTGTCCAGTCTGTGACAGGTTGAACACCCCAGGCGGGTTATAACCTGTGCATGTTGAAAAGAGGATACCTCTGGGAGGGATTTCCTCTGGAGAGAAATTATTGCACCTTCAGGACAGAAGTCATGATTAATCACATCGCTGAGGTTTAAATGTGATTATAAAATCTGTTTCTTTCAAGGAGAAATCTGCTGCTCAGTGAGGAGAAGGGAACAACTACAATGAAAAGTTGTGTGCCCTGTTTGAACACAAACTATAGTGGGAGTATTTGATTGTGACAAATGGTGGAAATGCTCTTAAACTATATTGATATAAAATGCCAGTATAAAATTATTGGTTGCACTTTGGACTTAAGTTTTTTAACAGCACATGTAAAGTTCCTGGGTTGTATAAAAGTAATTTATTATTATGTGGTTCTCATGAAACAAGTGCTATTTATTTTACTCCCAAACAGTGAATCACTGTAGTTGCATTATACTATAAAATAAAGACATTGCTGTGTTTTTCCATCCAAATGTAATTTTAAACACATAGTTTAAGTGAATTAAGCATCAGTTGTAATCTAGTTGTAATGTTCATTCTTAATTGCTTATACATTGGTTTTAGAATGTTGTTCAATGTTGTATCTTATATAAGAAGCATAAAAAATCATATATTTATTGTACTTTTTATTTTATAAAGGTACTTTGTGTGGAAATTCATTTGAAGTTTAGCTCATAAATGCATTTCAGTTTGCTTTTGAAATTTCAACCAGCCAGGATCTCTAGAAGACAATTTAAGCTTGGCAATGAGTTTAATTTTTTTATATTATGACTGTAAAAAAAAAAACATCAGGTCCTGCTTTCCTTGCATCTCCTGTTGACTCCAATAAGTGAAAAGTGCATCTAAGCACATTATAAAGACTTCAGTTGACGCTCATATGGACATTTTATTATTGCAATAACTATCATTACTGTGCAGCAAGATTGCATACAGTAAGTGTTTGAAATGCTCTCATGTGATCAGCTCATAATCATAACCTAATTGTACCATTTAGGAGCATTATCAAATTGCATTTGTTTTTAAACAAATTTATGTCTCACATGAGTAACAATATTGCAACAATGCTGCAGTTGTTAGACATCTTAAGGAGGTGATGCTCTGCTGAGGCATTGTGAGGAACAAGTTTGCCAAAGTTTATGACAAGTTGATGGGTGGAGTGGATGCACTCAGGGCTAGAAACAAAATAGCTACTACCAACTAGAGATATGAGGAAACCGCTTCATCCTTCAGAGGCATAACCAGTATGTGAAAATGTATATAAATTTTTGGCTATTTGTGTTTTTGTCAGAGAAAATGAAAAATCTTTTAACCAAATGCATTAATTATTGGACTTTAGAACAACCAAATGAAATCGTTTTTATTTACTTTTCATGTTTATTTGCATCAATAAAAGAAAAGCTGTCAAAAGGGAACAAAAACATGGAGCCAATGTTGTCAAAAGGACTCTAATGGACAAAATTTCAACCAATTCAAAATGCTGAAGAAATGAACAAAGCCACTTTGTTGTCTAAAGGCACATTGTGTGGCTGGAATGTGAAACAGGAAGTGGCTGCAAATTGAAGATGTGTATAATTTCTGTTGTTATATTTGAAATGTTTAATTTATTGCAAATAAATTATTTTTGAAGCTCACTTGGTCTGTACCATAGACTGTGCATAAAAAGGTCGATACCTGACTCTGAATGACTTTTGGCAATTGTATGTATTATTTGAGGAGTTATCGTGCGTTGTTCAGTCACCCTAAAGCCCACTGGTTTAAAATGAGTCTGTGTAGATCTACTTTAAAATTGACTAAAGGGAAGTAAAATTACTTTTGATACTTCAGTACCTGCTGTTAATTTCAAGTAAGCTCATGAGTATATCATATTTGTGTAGCTCAAAGGTTTTCAGAGTGGGAGGTGGGGCTCACTAGGGGGCTCCTAACTTTTTCAAGGGAAGCTCAGTGAATGGAAGGGAAAAATATTAGTTATATTACATTAGTTATCAAAAGGAGATCACCTAAATTATCCTAAATGTGTGTGATTTGGTGAAAGAGATGGTTCCGAGATACAGGGGAATTTTACTGTTTACTACCAACTTTCCCAGAGTCAGAAACTAATAAAAGCCTTAGGACAGGCATTTTTATGTATTTGGTTTAGTCTCTTTTTTTATGCATTTATGTATTTTACTCTCAAGTTATGTCAAACAGCAGTATTAGGCTATCGTTATTCAAATGTTGAGTTTCTGTAGGATTAAATAACATAATCATGACCCCATAGGCATCCAGGAATTGAGCTTAACAACAAAAGTAAACTAAGGTTGATTGAGGAGAGCCATATAGTCTCAGACTTTGAGAACCCCTGGTGTAGCTCATTATTCTCAAAGGCCGGGATATAGCTTCAAACTGTTTAGATGATTTAATTTATGCGAGCTTTACTTAGATGCACCAACACCATCGATGTTCATATATTCTGCATTATCACTTTCATTGCAGAATCTGTGAAAGCGCCAAAAACTTTGAAGCTGGAGGGAAGATGCTGGATTGGTCTTTTACGTTCGCCTCTTGTACACATGAACCTTTCACCACAAGCAGCGAGAACAGCAGCCAATCGCATTTGTTTCTTTAGTAGAGCCCATCGTGATTGGTTTGACACAGGAAGAGCTACACCAATAGTAACTGACTTCCGCTTCCCTTTGACCTTTCAAAGCCAATCATACTTGGTTATTTGCATTCCAAAAGCCAATCGCGTCTTAGGGCGGGACAAGACGTGGGGTTTATATCCTGGTTGTGTGGCTGCGGACCTGCCATTGCAAGATTCTGTTTTGAAAAAGCAATTCAACAACCAACGATGTCTGGAAGAGGAAAAACCGGAGCGAAGGCCCGCGCCAAGGCCAAGACCCGTAGCTCCCGCGCCGGTCTGCAGTTCCCCGTCGGCCGTGTTCACCGTCTCCTCCGTAAGGGTAACTATGCCGAGAGAGTGGGCGCCGGGGCACCCGTGTACCTAGCCGCTGTGCTGGAGTACCTCACCGCTGAGATCCTGGAGTTGGCCGGCAACGCCGCCAGGGACAACAAGAAGACCCGTATCATCCCTCGTCACCTTCAGCTGGCTGTCCGTAACGACGAAGAGTTGAACAAACTGCTCGGCGGTGTCACCATCGCCCAGGGCGGCGTCCTGCCCAACATCCAGGCCGTCCTGCTGCCCAAGAAGACCGGCCAGTCTGCACCGAGCTCCGGCAAGGCGGGAAAGAAGGCCTCCTCTCAGTCTCAAGAGTATTAGCTTGGTGGCTAATAACTTTTATCCCAAAGGCCCTTTTAAGGGCCACCCACTCATCATTGAAAGAGCAACATATCCTGTTAATCGCTGTCTTGTTGCACATTTCGCATGATTTTTTTTATTTAATAAACGCTTGTTTTGTAAAAGTGGTCGTTACCGTTCGCTGTGCTGTTTGGTGAAGCTATATGCTAATCTCGTGAATGAAGTTTAGTCACTAGCCGGTGAGTTTGTATTTAGCTGACTGGCCTCGTTAGGCCACGGGTCTCTGATTTTAAAAATGTGAGATTTAGGTTCGTACCTTAATGTAGCTGGTCAGTAACGTTACACACTAAAACTTCATTCTCATTCAGCAGGTCATTACATGAACGGAAAGATCATGGCCTCCAGTTATTAACGTGCACGTCTGGTTCGTAGGCCAGATCCTGCAACAGAACCTGCAGATTGCTGTCAATGTGGTTCTTTCTAGCATGACTGTGCACTTTTGTGCAAACTGGGTGTAAATCCCTCAATCTTAATCAGAGATGATGTGAACAACACCTACAGTACAGGGCATTTAAACACAAGTGCTATTTCTGCTAAGCTGAAAGCATAGTAATAATTGTGTCATCACTTACCTGTAATCCTTACTCAGACCCAATTCCCAGTTTAGGTGCAGATGGCTAAAAGTAATTCTGTCTAATCCCACACCTTTTACCTCTTAACAATGGTCATTGTGTTCAGTTTTTGTTGATGATGAATCTGTCATTTTTGGGGCGGTTACACCAATGAACAGATTAGAAGCACCACAACCTACAGCTTCCAACATGACCATTATGTTGAATCAATGCCTCTCCACCACAACCTTCAAAGACTGAAACATAACTGTTTGTCAGGATGTATTGCAGGGCTGTTAATTTTAGGTATATGACCTGAGACACTGAAAACTGAGTGTATTTACATATAATCCTAGTTTTAGAGTTGGAGTTATTCGTTTCTCTCTAGGGGATTATTCGTTAAAACGGTTGCCTTTTAGGTAAAAGTGCCCTAAATTTGTGCATCTCTGTGGTTAGAGCCTGCATAAACAAGATAACGGTTCTTTCTGCTTGAGGCTCCAGGTGTTCCCCTGTTACACGTGAAAGGAACAAACAAGTGCATTCAGTTTACCAAAATGAGCACAGTGACATCTGATCAAATGCACACATATAAGTGCAACAGGCATATCACTGTGAAGGAACATAATTTATAACTCTCTTAAATTACAAATTGTCCAAATGTATAGGATATATGCTAGAAATTTGGCAGTAAATAATTTATTCAAGGAGAACCCATTCTGTGACATGACTCAAAGGCCATCAGCCTATAGCAGCATAATTCTAGTACATCATGAGTTATTTCTGGTAGTGTAGTAAGAATACCATATTACCATTTGTGCTGTGCGGTTTAGGTTAAAGTGTTTTGTCCAGTCTCAAAGGAATGTGGTGAAATTATACAAGGATCAGGATAACCCCAAGAACCTCAGCTCTCCAAAATAAAGCCACCAAACAAGCCACATGTCAGAAATGCACACTAGATTGCATAAAAGAAAGTCATGACTTCTGACACCTTGCCAGACAGCTACACAGTTCTGCGATTGGACTCCCAACAAGCCCAAGAGTTGCAAATATAACTGATACAGCATGCTGGGAAAAGGCAATGCAATGGCAATACTGAGGTGGTTTCAGTTAGATCCAACCCTCATTGTAAGAATCCATTGTTTCTGCAAAAGACCTTATTCAAAATATAGTTTGTTTTATATCACAACCATAGCATGTAACAGAAACAACACTATCAGAAATAAAATCTTGTGAGAGTATTCTCGGTAACTGTGACCGTGGGAGTGTACCTCACTGACTTTGCCACCAGGTGTCAGCTGTTTCATCTTCGAAAATCTGGGATATGTGTGATATGTGTTTATGCCTGTGTATGTTTCCATTTAATAACAACTCAAGATAGTTATTGCTCCAACAGATGTTCAACTCATGCACCCTCACCATAGTCTCAAGAAGAGATTGAAGCAAAGGTTTCCATCTTAAAAAATGAAATCATTAAACATTTACGTAACAACAGTAACATAATGTTAAACAGTAAAATATTTAAAAAAGCTATCTTGAAGACTCATCAGCTGTCATACTTGATAACTCTATGATTGGGATCTATATAAGATGTAGCTTTTTCATGTCAACTGTGGTGCAGGGTTACTTGTTTTCTCATTGCATCTCTGACATGTGCTGGTAAAGTCACCCATAACCTTTCCACAGGAGGAGAGCATGCAGATATTTCTGTCTGCTTTGACTGTTTTATTAGTGGCAAAAGCAGCATGACGCACTGAGTTTGAGCTGAACCCAGGACAGGCTGAACCAATTACTCGGTCCCTGACAACGTGTCCCGCACCAACAGCCAGGCTAAAAATTCCAGCCTGAGAGGAAAAACTTGAGTGTTCATTGGCTGTGATAACTATAATTTCCTGATTGGCACCCTCTCAAAGGCTCTAAATTTACCACTGTCCCCGCTCTCAGCTGTTTGTGACAAAGCAAAGCAAACAGAGAGATATTCAGCCTTTTGTATGGTTAAACAGTATAGCTTCATTTTATGTAGGAAGCAGAAATGTAAAGTCACTTAAAAAAAAAAGCTGCCAAAAAAAGTTGGCTGTCCCTCGTTAATCCTTAATGAGTTTGAAGTGATCTCATCCCACTCACACTTTTTCCATGTTTTGTCAGCTCTTTAAGTATCACAGAGCAATGCAGGAGTACGGAGTGGGTAGATTCAAATGAAAGAGAAAAGGGAATGATAAGTGGTGGGAGAAAGAGGGCCGGAAAGAGGGGTGGACCTGGCAGAAAGATGTATGTAGATGCACTGGATATTCCACTTTCTGTGTAACTCGGCATCAGTGAAGAACTGACAGCACATTTCCACCCTCAAGGAGAGAGCTGAGAGACCTTTCTCACAAAGAGCTGGGAAGATGTCTCATCTCTGGTGTTTTTAATCTTTGGACTGACAGACAAGGAGATGTTCCTCGCCAGCTTGGGTAATGAGAAACAAAAATATTTGCTTGCTTGTCCGTGTGTGTGTGTGTGTGTGTGTGTGTGTGTTGCAGGGAGCGAGAGATGGAGATAATGGGGCTATTGTGGCAGTTTGGTTGTCGTTGGTTGTCAGCCCAGTATGACCCAGTTATTTCTCACTCACTATGCACTATGTGTTAGAGGGTTTTATATACTTTCAATATCATTGCTTTAATCATTTATCTTTGTCTTTGAACACACCCACTAATAACTTAAATATTACAGAGCACTGGGAGCAGGTGGAAGTCATCTGGTTTCAGAGAGAGAGAGAGAGGGAGAGAGAGAGGGAGAGAGAGAGAGAGAGAGAGAGATTAGGGGTCAAACCCAGCCGGCTCTGTGAATGGAGACTTTTATATGTGTGTGAGATCAGGCTGCCTTCGGGGCTCATGCGTCTAGTAATGTACTTTAGTGGAATTACATGCTGATGAAGTATTTCCCCCGACAGGAGTGTGAGGTGCACATGTGCCCGGGTGAGTTTTTCTTTACTTTAAAATGCTAATAAACCCTCCAATATGATGCATTTCTGTGTGACAGGGGAAAACAGCTAAGATATAACCTACTTCATGATTGTGATTTGTTTGCCTGTGGACAGATGTTACAAAGGAAATGGCACATCTGTTTGGTGGGAGACTCAAAGGAAAGGTTTTGGGAATATCAGCTGCTTCCCGTTGTTTTTTCTTATTCATTCTGCCTCGTCTGGGGTCATGCCTTATCAGGGTAGCATTTAGCTTCACATTGCTTTCTATACCGTGCGGTGATCATTGCAACATACGAGAATGTGGGTGTTATGTCAAGCATCAAAATCAGAGGATTCAAATGGTATTCATGTGTACACGTTGTTAATTTGTTGCTGTATAAGACGACAGTTTTTTTTCTGACAATTTTAAAATTGAGAAACCATGTTATATCACAGTGGCCTGCATCATCTAGGTCTTTTCTGCAGATGATGTTGATCTCTCTAACCCATCTCTGAATCAGACCTTCTTCAGGATGAGGGTATTTCTCGTCCTGAGTTGAGCCTCTCATGCATTCCTCCCAGCGTGTGTACCACCACAACAAGCCCCCCGCCACTCAAATGGTTATGTTTAAGTTAAGGTCAAGGTTAAAGGGCAAAGGTGATATTTTCGGCCCGTCAGTGTTAGCGGCAGAGGCAGGCATTTGTGCGTGGCCTGAGAGGAAGTTCTGCTTGAGAGGCTCAGTTCAGGGCAAGGAAGTTTGCATTATGTAATGGGGGAATTCATATGAGAAGAATGGTGATCAAAAAACTGTTTCTCATCAGCCTCCCACATGTTCTTCTGGTGCATAAATTGAAGCATTTTTTTTAGTTTCTAACTGAGACATCACTTCCACAGTTGTTACTATTCTTCATCGGTTTACTCTCATTTCATGCGCAGACATTCTCCAGGAACTTGCACACATCTACTGTAGTTGGTTGAGACGGTGTATAGCAGTGTGTGACTGCAGGGCACACAAACTGACCGAGCCGAACCTCCCACCAGACACATATTTCAAGACCTGTCAGAAAACCTCACCTCTGTGTGATCAGTAAACACACACACACTGAGGCTGCAGCTGGCAAAGCCTCCAGTAGTGGTGAACATCCTCCCACAGACCTCGTAACCTGTTAAATGCTGAGGCATCACTTACAACCAAGAGCAGACACACAGAAAATAAAGTTGCATTAAGTCATAGTATTGGCTAGCGATCAAGAGCAAATAACAAACAGACATTACCTTTGAACAATTATCCAACTGGATTATCTTGCATAATGAAGTTATCAGTAAAACTATTTGGACCAATATGTTTTATATTTGTAACAGCAAAAAAGCAAAATGAGAACCTTTTCATAGCCTGGAGGATTTTAGCTTATTGAAACATTACATTACCTATATATTAAAACTTGATGTTATTAAGATGAAGCATTTGTGTTGTTTTGGAACTTTTGACCCATTCATTTAAACAACAAGGAAATTTCACACCAGGAACAAATTAATTCTTTCAAACTGCGACACTGTCTGATAACTGTCAGACTAGTCAAAGGTGTAACTGAATACATGAATAAGTAATACTTAAGTGAAATGTCACATGATATCTTATTAAAGATTAACACAAAGATGTTTTTTGTAACATCGGTCGCAAATTGTTTTGTACGGAGCCCCCAAAACCGACAAATCTAAACCATCAAACAACAAAAATATATCACCCAGCTGTTTGTTAAATAATTATAATACAGTGATAAAAAGCTGATCCATGTTTTCAGCTATATTTTTTCTCCTTTCTGATAATGTTTTACTATATTTTGTCAGTTTTGAGGCTCCATATAATTTTGGTGTAAAAATTGTTTAGACAGCATCTTTTCGAATCTCTGTGTCAATAATCAAAATAAAAGTCTTTATGATATTAATTAAATTAATAAAAATAAGATACATGTGGCACAATGATAACAACAAAGTTCATTTTTTTAATTATTTGATGACATGTCAAAGTTAATAACCTCATACCATTTACCAAATATTTCACAAATTACATTATATTAGTAAATATTAATAAATAAGGACTTTGCTTTTAATAATCCCTTGCATCTGCTACAGTGAATCATTTGCTAGATAGACAGTTAGTGAGTAATCTACATTCAGAATCACTGTTTAAAGGGCATCCCCTCAGCTGGACCCTCCACATCATCGCTGAGAGCAGCTGACTCAGAGCATTAACCTCTCTGCAGACTTTGCTTCGAGTCCATCTGGTTACTTAGCTGCCTCTGTTTGTTTGTTTTTATGTTCCTTTGTGACTCATCATCTACTTCATTTCCTCCATCTCTCCTCTCTGGCCCCAGACCATGGGAAAAGCCTTGAGAGATCAATAGTGGAGTCTTTCTCCCACTCTCCTTCACTCTCTCTCTCTGTGTCTCCGAGCCAAATCGTTCCTGTGGGACGTCTGAAAAGATGGCTAACTTGATTGCTCACTTCCTCTGGAACATAGTATTTCTCTATCCCATTATCATTGATGTATCAAACACAGTGGACACATTATAATCCACTGTGCTTAGTCATATTATCATAAATTGTTATTCAACAGTTTTCCAGAGTGGAAATACCCTCTTTCCAGTCTGGTTGCATCAGTGGTACAGAGCTTGGAGCAGGAAGTCAGAGGACACGAGGTCTTTTCCATCTCCTACTCCTACACCACGTGTTATTTCCTCCCTGGATCAGACTGTTAACACCTGCTTTACCAATAGACAATGCTGAGGACAGTCAAAGTATTGCAGGGTTTGGTTTCCAGCTTCCTCTGATACTCTGGTGTGGTCCATCTGAGCTTTCAATCAATGGAAATCCTGTAGGAGTGAATACATCTCAGGAGGATCTGAACTTTGACCCAACGCTTCTTTTTACTTTTTATAACTGGAATCCAGTGTTAGAGTGAAGAGTAAGCTAAAATCATCGTTTTATTTGCCAAAAAGAGAAAAGGAAGTTAATGAAAAAGTAGAACATAAAGTCAGAAGTACGACCACATTTTAGAGGGCAGTGCCGCTTGCCCTGTCTCCCTCTGCTGCGTGTTGGGGATGTAACTCTGCACCGGGATGGGGAGGAGAAGGGGTTGGGAGGAGGGAAATAGCAGAGGAACGAATGAAAAAATCTAGGAGCAAGACATAAACAATAATGTGGACACTGCTCTGCGGATTAATAATCTTCAGACAAAGTCATGGATGTGGATTTAGCTGTTGTCTGGACTCTGTGAGAGTAGAGAAATGGTAAGAGCTGCATGTCTGTATAAGTAAGAAAACTGTTGGCTGTGTTTGGCAGCACTGTTGTTCTGTTGTTCTCCCATAATCTTATGCTGTCCTTTATAAAATAATACCATCTTTTTTTTTCATCAACCATTTTAAAGGTAGATTTTCCAGTGTCTTCCTCTGTTTTGTCAGTGTTCTCAGCAAAAGTCATTTCTCTTTAAAAGTAGCAGCCCAGACTGTGTGGCTGGCGGTGTCTATTTTCAGAAGCTCATGGCAACTCTGAAGGGCATAACTGCCCCCATAATGACAGGTTACAGTGGAAGGCCCTGCATTTGCAAGCATTAAAACTATTCTCCAGCCTGGGTGTGTACGTTAAATCACTGAGGCTTGTGGGAGCAGGAGCATATGTGTGTATACGTGCGTGTGTGTGTGTGTGTGTGAGTCAGACAGACAGAGACACATTACCCTGCCCACTCTCCTGTCCTGTGTCTTGAGTGCGTGGCTGAAAGAGGGCCAGTGTTGACAGCCAGTGGGCTGACAGCAGAGGCGTGAGGGGTCCAGTGTCAGCGCTGAACAGAGGGGACGGTCTGTTCTCCGTGTCACTGGGTCCTCACACAGAGACTCACACACTGGACGTGATTGTCAGATATGTGTGGTTTCACCCAGCAGCCTCGTCTGGAGTGACATCAGACGCAGATTGAACGCCCCGTTGTCTGAAAAAAACCTGGGCTAAACTTGGAACATGACAGCTGTGGATCGTTTTTGGCTGTTTTTAAAAAAAAATTCTAACTGATCAGTGATGTCAGCACGGAGCAACAAAGAGCTCAAGCATTTCTTTTTTGATGCAACAGTCATGTGCTGGTGTCTGAATGGGTTGATGTGGTCATTTCCTGACATACAGGCTGGTGAGAAATTAAGGGAAAAAAATAAAATAATTGAGAAATGCAGGAGAAGAGGTGACACTAATGGTTGATGATGAGCATGAAAATGATGTGAATCACGTGCTATTGCCTTCAAAGTCACCAGATCTCAGCTTTGTTAAACAGCTATGGGTGACTTTGGACAGAGAGACAGCGCTCTTCACCAACCTCATATCTTTTGGAAGAATGGTGTCCATAGCGCCTCAGAGATTCACTGAAACTGTGGGCTAAAGGTGACCCAACACCTAACTGAGATTTTGTTTTGTTTCAGAAAATTGTCACATGATTCAAGTTAAGAAATCCCCTCTGGGATATACTTGTCAGAACATGACACAAGTTAAATTCCCCATTGATTCATGGCAGACAAAACAGACACCAGATAGTAGGTGACTGTCTGTTTCAGTTTTCCTAAGAATGCAGAGCTCTACTAAATTGTTGCCAGAACAAGCAAATCCATGTGGGTGATATAGTGAAAGATGTGAATACCAGCTTTTAGCAGAAAAATATGGTGAGTCATCTGGACGTCTTATGTGTCTGTGTGTGATTGTTTGAGACATGTCTGGTCCTCGCGGGTTGTTGTTTCCCCTCTCGTTTGATGTGAGCGCGATGAGCAGACAGCTGGATCTAATCTTCAGCATCTGTCTGCAAACACGGAGAGTGTGTTTGTGTGTGTGTGTGTGTGTGTGTGTGTGTGTGTGTGTGTGTGTGTGTGTGTGTGTGTGTTTGTGTTTGCAAGGTCTGTGTGAGTGAGTCACAGTGACTCATCGTGGTCAGAGGAAGCAGTGATCTGACCCCTCATGTGTAAGGCACCTGCAGAGCTCAGGCACACCTTCTGCTACATCTCCAAACTACAACTGTGATGATATTCACCAAAGATTAAGGTGTTATTGCCGCACTTTTTGTCAAATACCTGTGCGTGCTTAATCTCTAACATTTAAAGTCAATAATCTCTCTTAGATTGAGGCATAAATGAATGCCAGCTTCCTTGGTGGATCGTTTTGTCCGGCTAGTTCTGGAGAAACAATTACCCAGTAGAATGGTTTGGTCACATGGGCTTATAACTGGGGCAGAAAGGTTTCTAAGGAAAGCACTGTTCCCATTGTAGTACAACTGTAGTAGCAGTATTCCCAGCGCTCCCATTCATCCCCTGCTCTCCTCTCTCTCTCTCTCTCTCTCTCTCTGTATGTGTGTGTTTGCTTCAGGATCTTCACGTGTCAGATAATTCTGACAGTCCAGCCGACATGGACCGCATGAGCAGGAATAGAGTGGAACACGGGCGACAGACTCACCAGGTCTTACAGGTGAGTCAGTTCTTACTTCAGCACCATTGGCCCTTTAAAGCTGATACAAGTTGGATGTTAAATCAAGTGTAACTGACTTTATTTCTATTACCATCTGTGGTGAGTCAGCCTGTTATTCAACATCACTGAGAACTGAATGATTTTTTGTGAGAATGTAAGATCATTTTAAGAACCAGCTTCCATATTAATCAAATGAATCTGGCAGTCAGTGTTGCACAATAATCTCCAGTTATTTCTACTGACTATCTCTTTGGACTCTAACTATACTATTATTTTTAACAAGAGTTTCTCACTTAGTATGAAACAATTGCTCATGAAAATCCTAACATGTTCAATCTTACAGCTCCAGCCAGCTGGGTTGGTTGTACATGAGGCTGTTTCCAGGATCACAAATAACCATGTAACAGCCAGTGTATTCATACTCCAGTGGTAAAAAAATTCTGGTCTTGATAGTTTCTGATCTAGTGTCTCCGTCACAGTGTTGCGTCATCAGATTCATATTGTGTATCTTCATATTCATTATCATGTGTCTTGTCTTCACTTGTAAAAGAAAAAGAGACGCATTTCAGGATGAGTACAATTCAATTTAAGTACATATGCTGGGCGTCTTATTTGAACAGATTAATACTTATTTTTAGTTGTTCATACATCTAATTTTCACTGTGAGGATTCCTTACAAAACTGATGTGGAAAACCTCATCAATATGAGTGTTGACTTTGAAGATGTGTATATTTTCTGGTTAATGTAATGATGTCTTTCAATTGATTTTGTTTGTTTTGACAGAGCACTCCTTTAGACCTGATTGAGACAGGCAAGTCCCTGAAGGTCCAGGCAGAGCGCCCCCACCTGGTTAGTTTGGGAAGTGGACGTCTGAGCACAGCCATCACTCTGCTACCACTGCTGGAAGGTGAATACCTGAGTGTGTGTGTGTGAGTGTGTGTGTGTGTGTGCCTTTTTAAGATGACTATAACTGTAATGCTGCAGGATCAGGAAACTCAGTTTGTGTCAACTCAGACATCTCTGTTCTGACAATAGGATCTGTACTTATGTTACTGTTAGCAGCAAGTATAAACACTCTCAGAAACACACAAAACAAATCAGTGGTTCTTTAATAAGTAAGCAGTGCAACTTGTCATGAGTGATGAATTGACAAAAACTGATGAGACATTACCTTCACACCATCTTGTTGTTACTCATACTGTCTGTACCACAGTTGTGATTGCACCCATGTCTGTGATTTTCTTGCACCATGGTCTAACACTGGCCCTAGACGCCACAGAGGAAAAGAGAGACAGACAGTAGCACCAAGGAAAAAAGTCTGTCTCTCTGTCAGTTTTCTGTGAGCTGTATCTCAGCTTTGCTATTAGATAAGAATAAGTAGGATACTGTATAGTGTTGAGTTAAATCTCTTGCATCCTGGCAGTGATGGAATATAGCTCATAATAAAATGACAACACAGTAAATAGTAGGTGGTTATATAACTCCCACTGACAAGAAGCCTGTCACCTGCCTGGCTAAGGACATCTCTTGAGACTAACACCTGACTCCATATGTGCCTTGACCCCTGAGATCTCTGTCTTTGAACCTCAACCTAAGAATACTTCACAAAAATATTCACAAGTCCATATGGATGTCCAGTAACCGATACTGAGAAAATGTATTCTCTTGTTGCAGGGAGAACCACGCTGGGCAGTGAGGGGACAGATATCCCCCTGCAGGGCCTCGGCATTGCAGCGCAGCATTGCTATATTGAAAACCAGGCAGGCATTATCACCTTGTACCCATGTGGAAACCAGTGCTCTGTAGATGGCCGTCCCATCACCAAACCCTATCGACTGACACAAGGTAGCAGAGTCACAGACTTAAAAGACTGCAATAACATGAGTGTTGGTGGTAAAGCTTGTATATATCGAATCTTATATCAATAATGTCATAATATTTGCCATAAAAATGTAAATAGATGATCACTAGTCATTTAGTGGGACAGCAGTGCATATTGTGTCCACATTAGTCTAAAATACTCACTGATGTAGAGTCAAATGACTTAAATTGGCCACTGTATTTGCAGGATTACAATGTAAAACTTTTAGTGGATAAACTGGGTTCTGCAGTGAGTTTAAATTGACACAAAGTAGACAAAAACACTGTCTAGCGTTCACCAATAATCAATATTTGTATAGCACCAAATCACAACAGAAGTTATCTACGGGCACTTTACATATAGAGCAGGTCTGCAGCTCTTTACTTACAGAGACCCAACAACTCCCACCATGAGCAAGCACTTGGCGACTGTGGCAATAGCAAAACAGTCCCATGTCCTTCCAGTAACATGCATACTTACCCACATAGCATAACAGTCCCGCCCCCCTGAGTCCCCTTACATGGGATCCAAGCCAGCAGCTACACCAGAATGTCATTTGAAGCTGGGTGATCAGCCAGTGCATGAGGACGCAGCAGCTGCTCAACAAGAATACTTCAGGCATTTCTTCATTCAAAGGACAATCATGAAATGCTGAATAAAACAACTCAGGAATGGAGGAAACGGCTTCATTTATAGTATAAGGACAATGTTGACTTTATTTTGAAGGAGGAAATAAACACTGAACTCCCTGTGGAGTATCTCAGGAAATAATATCAGGCATTCTTGAAAACCACCGGAAATGCAGGGACAGAAGAAGGAGTTGATTTCACTTCCTGGTTAATCACACGTGAGTTAAACTGAATTTATTGATGTCAGTTAAACAGCCAATACACTGGCTGCTGTTCTGGAGGATGAATACACTGCACTCATGGATCTCCTTATTTTACCACATATCAGGCTGAAATGTGAAACGTTACATTACATGTTAGAATAAATCTCCCAGAACTGATCTATACACTTAAACCTCCTATTGGTGTTACTGCACCAAAAAATACAACAGCTGACTGCAGTCATTATAGACATAAATTTGTTAAGCCAGTCAAATTTTAACTGAAATTGGTTTAATGATTGAAGTTACAGAGTGGGTACAGAAAGAAAACACTGGCTCAACAGTCAGTTTTTGTAGTAGTACATTTATGGAGGTGTCTTCTCTCCTGGCAGGGTGCATGCTGTGTTTTGGTCAGTCGGCCTTTTTCCGCTTCAACCATCCAGAAGAGGCCCTGAGGATGAAGAGCATGCTGCCTGGAGGAAGCCAAGGACTAAGCACCACAAAAACTCCTCCAACTGGTAAAGACCCTGCTTTGATACTTATACAAAACAATAAAGCAAAATCTAAGTCCAAAATGAACAATTCCTGTGATCCAGAAATAAGCTGGTCCCTGACAACTGTGTGTATGAAGGTTGCACAGTTTCCTGAGCAGCTATTCTGGGCAGAGCAAATGCTTTGGGCTGATAGTCACACAAATTGTTACAATCACTTTGGCTTCCTTCAACCTAACTGTAAAAATAAAAACACTGTATTAGTTCCCACTACTGCGGGTTGTAGAGTTTCATGTCAGTTTAAAACATGCATGTCTCAAGGCTTACATCCTTGGTTAGTTGGTTAGTTCATTGGTTCTCAGACCTGAATGACTTGTTTTGAGGTTTTCAAATCTTGCCAGCTCGTGGTTTCCATATCTGCAGCCCAATTGGTCTTGAAGTTTTGATGCTGGTTATTATTATCCTTGGCAGGATGTAGAAATAGCTTGCTCAGAACTAATTATCTGTGGCCTACATTGTGATCTAGTTCATTTAAAACTGTGCTTTTCGCTCAGTGTGTGACCCTTTTGTGACAAAGGATTATTACAATCTTTGGCACCAGTTTTTGGATAATTTTTTTTTTCCTTTTTACAGTCACATTTGTATGATGTTATGTAATTGTGGTAACTGTTTCCTTGTGCTGTCGATGATATTTAGAAGCCATTCTCCTCTGACCTTACTGGTTTGGCTGTCAGTGCCTGAACAGCACAGTAAGAACCACCACACCCTGCCCAGTGTGCATGGCGCACTCTTTCCTGACCAGCCCCTGATTTCATCTGCTCTGAATGAGGTACACGGCTGCAGCTTTTATATTTAGCAACTCCAGATCCCTGTGGGATTACAACAACTAGTGAGCAGCACAATATCCAGATCGCCGGGTTTGGTTCATACAGAGGAGCGTGTGCTCCAAGAGATTTATCACTATTTAAAGTGGGCCATTGAGACACTGTGTGTGTGCAACAACATGTTCAGGCGTGTGTATTTTTCCTTTTATGGGCGACCCCTCGTTGTCCGACAGCAACTGACCTGAGGTGTGGTAGATGTCAAAAGGACAAAGATGACACACACGGGGAACGACAGATCCTTCCCACCGTGTGTTTGTTTATGTGTGTTTTTACAACTGTCTCTTCAAGTGTGCCTGACCTCCTTATTTATTCAACAGGAATGCTCATGCACAAGTGTTTCTGTCTCCCCTCTGCAGACTCTCATTGTGCCCCTAACGGGAACCATCAATCTCTTTCGAGCAACGGCAACTCCAAAGTGAACAACATTGCAAAGAACCTCCAGGACTCGTTGGTGCTGAGGGCACCATCATCATTAGGACCTGGTAAACAAGCTCTTCCTCAGCCCTCTCTTCCAAACATGCTCAATGGAAGAAACAGCTCCACAACAGAGGACCCCATTTATGAAAACAGCAGCAAAACTCCTCCAGTACCTGCCCGGTCCACTCTTACCAACCACACTCCTGTTCCCCATCCACGGACCTCCCTGTCTGTTGCCTCAGGCAGTGCTAGTGGTGGTCAAAGGGCCCAGGAGAGCCCAAAGCTTCTTAGGAACATAAGGTCAAGCCCCACACCGCCTAGCACGGGGTCAGGACAAGGGACAGAAAGCTGTAACCTAACTCAGAAATCATCATCTGTTAAATTTTCCCCAACGGCTCCATCCAGCCCTCAAGTAAGAGGCTCCTCCCTACAGAAGAGATCCCCCAGCCCCATGCGAGAGCAGGGTCAGTATGATGATGTCCCTCAAAGGCTCAGGAATCCAGAGCCAACTGGGCCCACCAACCTTAGGGAACTTCCTCCTCTCAGCCCTTACATGTCCCGCAGAGGGACTCCAGGATCGCAGGGCTCAGCTTCCTCTCTCCCTTCACAAGGCTTCGCTGCTAAACCTGTCCCAGAGAGCCCCCAGGGCCACCGTAAACTCACAACAAAAGCAGAGGCCATGAGGGCAATGTATGCCCAGAGTCCATCACCACTCTCTGGGCTTGAGAAGGACCCTGGAAACAGGCAGATAAGGCCTGGCCCAGGAAGTGCCATCCTGTCAGGCCTGGGTTCTCTGTCTGGTACGTCTCCTCTTGCTAGCCCTCGTAGCCAGAGAAAAACATCTTGCATGACTGTGACAGGATCCTCCAGCAAAGAACAGAGTCTTAAAGAAAAAAGAGAGAAACCATATACCCGGGAACGCAAGAACAGCATCTCTGAGATCAGTGACAATGAGGACGAGTTGCTGGAATACCACCGCTGGCAGAGAGAGGAGAGGCTGCGTGAGCAGGAAATGGAGAAACTGGTAAGTGATCAGCCTTTTATATATGACTTTTATATCTGACAAGCTTGCGTAAAGGTACAACAGCTGTACAGAGCCACAGCTGTATCCAAGCATACAAGCTGTTAGCAAAAAACATCTTTTTAAACAGTTTTATTAAACATCCAGCAGAGGTTCTAGCTCTGTTTTGGGTTCTGCCATTTTCTGAGAATATCTGTGTCTTTCTCCTGCTGGTTGCTGAATTATGTTCATCAGCTGCTTGGTGGTGGAGAGCAGGGGAAAAGGTTAGGCTGGCTCTGTCTGAAGGTAATAAAATCCACCTACCAGAACCTCTAAAACTCACTGATTAAAACGTATATCTTGTTGGTTTAAACGTAAAGAAAAGTGGACAAATGAGGAACTGTAGATATCAGATTTCTTTTGTTGATATAATAAATATTGAGTATTGCAGATGTTTCTGTGAATTTAAGTCACTAGTTAGTCAGAAACCTTATTTTCCATAATTTGAAAAAAACATCTTTGGTTTCACTACACAGCATTAAAGAATGCACAGGAAATTGATGAAGACATACAAACACCATGGTTTTATAGGACATAAATACAGTTGAGTGGAGAAGGCGCTGAGACTGCTGGTATGGCAGACACCATGTCTGCATTCAGATATCTTGTCCAAATCTCCTGGCATACAGCCACTATCTCATCCCTCTTGAGCATTACTGGCATCGTCAGCGCATGTGGCCCGAGTGACACGGGGTGAACATTCTTCCACACAAGTCTTGAGGTTCAGAGCGGAGGGCGTGGCTGCTTCTTGCTCAACACTATATTTACCAAGAGGACGATTGGCATTTACTTTCAAAGCTGCCACCGCTTGACTGAAGGCTCTTTCTTAATCATACGCGCATCAGATCATAGACTGCATACTTGTTATCCATCCTCAATCCACACCCACCAGACACCCCACCTGCCTGCCAGTATACTGACAGCTGAAGAGACCACAGAGAGAGAGAGACGGGGGGCGGCGGGCGGGGGGGGGGTCATTCCCGGACATTCTCCATGTCCACAGACTATTTCAGGAACCAAAGGGTTTCTGGTAACAAATAAGACAGTTACTGACAACGTGTGCCTGTGTTGCATGGGCTTTGACTCCCGTGGATGTTTGTGTCAAAGCTACTCTGCCCTGCTGAGTCATCCTGTATGTGGAGACAATGTACAGGAAGCCATTACCTCTGCAAATACAAAACTTCATAAAAGACAAATATTTCACCTTACGATTTGTTGATTAGATTTTATTTGTAGGCAGTCAACCCTTGTGTTGTCTTCGGGTCAAAAATGACCCGCCACTGTGTTTAACAGCAGAGAAAACTCCCTAAATGATCTTTTTTCAACTTGAAATTCGATGACTTTTCCTAGAGTGAGCCCAACATTAGAAAAAGTGAAATTTTGCCTTGCATTCAAAACTACTTTCTGCACATTTCTGCTACTTTCTTAGGCTATACAAGTACTATCTCTTGATAAAAAATATTGTTTACCACCTCTGCAGTACCTTAAGAAATGAAGTAAAGAAGACAATTATGACAGCAGTGTTGTAATAAAAACGAGTGTGGTCCTCTGAAGAAATGCAGTGTTTCTGCACTGTGCAGAGGGAAAACTCAGATATTCACACAGTTTGTGATGAATGGCAGGTTGTTTCTTCATGCAAACTACATTTGGTGTTAAAAATTCAATTAAGCTTATTTATTTTCAGGGGTTTAGTGAAGGTGGGTCATTTTTGACCCAGAGGACAAGGGGAATATGTGAAGACAACACAAGGGTTAAGATGCATCCATGTGGTGGTAGGATAGTCTTACCTCCACTGCTGCCCAGTGGACAGCTAAACAGCATCAGTGTCAAACCACCACCTCGGTAGCCAAAGAAAAACACACACACACGTACAAAAAAAAGCAAACATACAATTATGGCTGAAAGCAAAAATTTCAAATGTGTTTGGATGTTGGCTGAAGTTTCCAGATTTTTTAGTGATTTGAAATGTTGCTGGTACTTACACAAAATACACAATGATGGTAATAGGGTTTATTGCTTCTGTATATACAGTAAAATGTGTGCACTTCTGCATACACACATGCTGAATGTAGATAACCACTGAGTGAAAATAAGTTCTTTAATGACACATTGAACAGTCAACTACTACATTAATATCCCAGGGGACATATCATGTAGAGGTGGATGGAGCTTTAAGACTAGATGATAATACTGCAGGGCTCCTGTAGAAAGTGAAAAGAAATATGCTTATTCTTTTCTCTTTTTTTCCCAAGAGTTAAACATAAATGCAACAGAAATGATAGAAAACAAAGAGGTGACCTGAAAAAATGGGGCTTAAGGGCTGATAATGAAGGGCCCCTATTAAAGGAACAGAGAATAATAGCATATGCTAAGCTAAGCTACGCATCTCTTGGTTCTAGACAGAGTTGTATCAATCTTCCCATTTAAATGGTGCATATCCCCCACAAAATCAGCTGGCCTATGGTGAACATGTTTGGGTTATGGACATGGTTCTTGATTTGTTGGTGTGGCAGCCTTGAAAGAAGCACACAAAAATGATAAATTGTAGATCTATAGATGAGAAAGACAAAGAGAGGATTTCCTCTCAGTGGAACAAATGCTCTATATTTGGCACACTGCTCTTTTGGCACACTTGGCACAGCTATGCAGGATTTTTTTTCTCACTTTATTGAATGCAACATACACCTACACATGGATATTGCTGCACTGCAAAAAACCCATGCAGCACTTCATCTCTCAGCACAAGTAAAGGGCATAGCTAGAGTTGAGTTGAGGCCTAACTGCTGGCTTGCAATCCAGAGTCTGAGTCTCTCAGTGACTGAGAGGCTTTCTTCGATGATACGTGGAACAAAAAGATTTTATTTGCAGATTAAACTGCAGCATGTTGATGTAATTTTGAGATGAAAATGTACCAGAGGTTATTTAAGTGCTGCATTTTGTTGAACCAAATGACCCATATTGTCTAGTTAAAGCTATAGTTCAACATTTTGGGAAACTGCTCAGCATAAAGACTGGAAACAGGGGGAAACAGGTTCAAACAGGTGACCTGGTACCATCTGAAGGGAACAGAGTCTGCCTACCAGCACCTTCAAAGCTAACATCATTCAGTGTTTACAATAAAACAACTCATAGATAGATACTGTAACTATGATCATTTTCTGTTGTTTGTTGACTGTAATGAAGTGAAACAAGCATAAGGAATCATTTGTGGTATTGATTTGGAGTCACTGGGTCACATTACATGATGGAAGCTATTGATAAATCTGCCATTATTTTCTATATTTAATATTTATGTAAATAAATGAATTGCACATTATCAATCAAAATAAGTCTGCTATGGGAGACCAATTTTGTGTAATCTATTTGATCATACATATTCAATGATATGGGCAAATTAGCATGAAGCTATTGAAAAAACATTGGTATTGTTCAGTTTAACCACCTGCCATTAAGCAAGAGAGAGTGGTGAGCTAAATGTCCTCCCACTGAAACTGAGTCAGAAGACACCACTGGACCTGGAGTTAATGTCAGTCGAATATCCATCTTAAAACTAACTTCACTGCAGTCTGACAATTGTGGTATCAATCTTATCTTACTCACCGTCTGAAAGCTTAAGATTTAAAATCTTTCAATCTGTTAAATCAAAATGTCTGGATCATAAATAATCCTGTTAATCTTGTTGCTTTTCATCAAGGAATGACCTAGATGTACACAGCATAAACAATTGTCTAAGGTGTAAGTCTTGCAGTTCAAGTAAATGCTCATGACAGAGCTGGCGTGGTTATTTTAACATCCTTAATAATTTAAATTCAGCCGATGGTTGCTGAAACAACAAGAAGCACATCAGACACAGTTGTTCCTAGTCGAGCAGATTCTGAGTTATGGTCAGATTGGAATGATGATTACATATTCTGCGCTGTTATTTTGGTAGATTAAAGGAAGCATCCCATTGTGCGGAGTGATGAGAGACAACAGAATGGCGCAGTGAAGAAAACATTAACCAAGAATCTAAAAAAAAGTCCAACATTTAAAGTGTCTCTGAGCAGAATAACAACTGGTGTAGAGTAATCTGAGATACTTTCAGTCAGCAACCAAAACTCGACAGAGTCTCACATTTATTCTTCTCATGTTTATCACAGTCTGTCAGATTCTGTTTTCATAAACAACTCCACCTCTGACAGGTCTCACGATGAACCCCCTCCTGAGAGACAAACTGCATCAGCCTCAGCCCTCCTGCTATCAGGTTACAGTTGTCCTGTACCATTGGCTGAGGGACAGCTGCCTAAATGGGACAATGTCACACAAGGACATTTGAAGCTTATCTGCAATAAGATCTGTAATGTGGGACAGCACGTTTATGTCTCGCGTGTCTTCCATAGGAGCGACAGAGGCTGGAGACCATCCTCAATCTGTGTGCAGAGGATAATCATGAGGACAGCGCTGTGGAGCTGGCTGAGGTGGTGAGGAGTGGGCTGCTGGGGGGCGCTGCAGGGACCTGCTCAGACGCAGGAGGGGGGATGTCCCTCCAAGGAGTAGACAGACACCAGAGGGTGAGGGAGAACGATGAGGAGGCACAGAGAGAGGAGTCCAGCAGCACAGAGAGCACACACCAAGAGGTAATAAACACATTCATGCATGCATGCATGTGTGGAGAGAATTAGATCATTTGTGTTTTTGCTCTGACAAATTTATTTTCCTAAATCTGCATGAAGTGTGAAGAGCTGTTAGCCGGTCAGGATCAGGTCTATCTGGAGGACGAGAGGAACAGGATCTTGGCCAGGGTTGATAACTTGAAGCACAGAGTGAGTGAACTGGAGCGGCAGCTACAAGAGACCAAACAGGAGGTCAGCGCGCACACACATACACACACACACACACACACACACACACACACACATACATACACATTACAGAATGTATACTCTTCTCACTTCACCCTTAGTGAGAGGAGTGGAAGCTGTTTCACCTTAAAGTATTTCTTTAGCATGACAGTACTTGGTGGTTTGCAGACTCTGACCCCATATTTGTCTGTAGGCGGAGATGGAGCAAGCCCTGCTGCAGGCAGAGAGGCGGGCAGAGCAGGAGCAGGTGGAGGCTGAAAATGAAATCATCTCTCAGCTGCAGCTCAAACTGAGCCAGCTGGACAAGGCCATCCAGAAAGAGAAGGACGAGGTGGGCACCCAGAACGAAGGAATGTGATACTGTAGATACTGTCAGTTCACTCACAGCCAGTTTGCACGTGAATGTTGGACATGTTCTTTAGCGTCTGTGTTTGAATATATAAAAGCTCACTCCTTCCTGAATGTGCAAGAAATCTATATATACAGTGTCTGTTTTCTGATAGCTCAACTGACTTGCACTGCTTATTCAGTAGATGTCTGTCCTAAAACACAAAGCACAAACTGTCTTCACTCTGCAGTGTCCAACACGTCTTGTGTTTAAAAAGACAGAAACAACAGCTGAAATCTTGTTCACATGTGCTGGGCTTTTATCTGGATGTGACCAACACTAAAATGTCGATTCACACGTGCACAAAACTTTTTATTTTTTTCTTGTTTTGATGTCATCAGATGTGTAAAGCTTTTAACCCCTAACACTCCTGCCGACCTAACCTCTGCCAAAGTCCTTTAATACTCCAACTGCCTTGGCCTGTTAGCTTTAAAACTGGCTGCATGGATTTGAGTTGTCTGTGATTTTTTTTTTTTGTTTCTCCCTGGGGTGGTGTGTGTATGTGTGTCTGAATGTGGACCCAATTGGGCTTATGTGTGTGTGTGTGTCTGTGTGTGTGTGTGTGTGTGTGTATGTGTGTGTGTGTGTGTTTCCATGTGTTTTTAGGGCAGGGCTAATGTGTCGGCTGAGCGGAAGGTCCTGGAAAAGCAGAGGAATGAGTACAATGAGCTGAAGAGGCAGTTTGATAAGTGCCCCTTGTCTCTAAGGGAACAGTTACAGGAGCAGCTCAGCAGGGTCAGTGTTCTCACACAGCCCACTGGCTGGCAACAGTGAGTTATAATATACCAAATACCACAGTTCTGTATGATCTGCACAGAAACAGCCACAGACATGACACTGACTCTGTTTTGAAGCACTCAGAGCTACTCATGAATTTGCAGACTGTGCATTTTCTCTTTTTCTGCTGTGGCCCTTCATTTCTTAAATGTGTAAGGTTTTTTTAAGTCAATACCATGCAAGTGTGACCACACAGTAGGCAACGCTTTTAGACTGCTGCTTAATTGCTGCTATTCCCTCATCCTGGATGCTTGGCGCTGTCAGTTGCAATTAGTATTAATTAATAATGTTATTAACAGCTTTCCTCTAAAAGTTTGCATGCCTTTTGCATTTGAAAATTGACTAAGAATGATTCAAGTCACCTACGCTCACTTAATGCTTTTAGGCAGAGCATTGACAGATCTGATGGTATGAGATGTTTGCTATTTCATTATGAACTTTAAAGGCTAAAGCAATTCTTTTTTTCTCTGTTTTTCTTATTGTGAACAAATCCCATGAAAACACCAAGACAACAAGGTTTTAGTCCATCTCTCGATATTTTACAACCTCTCCAGGAACCAGGATAAGAGTGGAGGCTGGCATTCAGGAATTTAGTTATATCAGGCTTTGCAAACATGGAGAGAAGTAGATCCACTCATTGTTGGTATTTGTCTATTCATGATCTTTGTTGACAATCAGAAAAATATAATATATAGTAATAGTAATAAATAGTAATATTGCCCAACCTTATCCTTTCCTAAGTGTGTTTCAGTAATTTCATACAGTGTATGTATATCTGTACGTGGACAGAAGGCTGAAGCTCTGGAATCTGGGACCAAGCAGTTTGAAGAGCTGGAGTTCTGCCAGCTGGAGGAGGAGAGCAGTTTGGAGGAGAAGAAGGAGACTCAGAGCTCGCAGCTTCTCCAAGAGCGAGCCGAGTATCAGTGCAGCGTGGCCAAGAGGAAGGTGGGGGTACATGCATCACAGAAAACACATACAGTATGTGTGTGTGTGTGTAAAATATGATAACCTACATGAGATTATATGTCGGTTTGAAACTGGGCGTGTTGATTCTCAGGAGAAGATGGCCGCTCTGGACGCTCAGGTGAAGCAGCTGGGGTTACAGGCAGCTGGAGACTGTGACAGGATGGCTAAAGACAGGACACTGACCCTGCAGCTGTTACACAAGGTTAGCCTCTTATAATAAACCCAGTCTTAACTGAATTGTATTTAATTGATAATAGTGATGCAAGACTTGCTGGTAGCTGAGACTAAACGTGAAAGCATCTGTATATACATGCTGGTTCTGCCTCCCATAGGAGCAAGACAGATTGTGTGCTGTGGAGAAGAGGTACCACTCCTTGACAGGAGAGAAGAATTTCCCGAAGCCCAACAGCAGCATGAAAGAGGTGAGCGGGAACTCCTGTGGTTTCTAAGATGGAGCGATTTTACTGCAAAAGTGGTCAACTTAGATGAACTTTTTAAACAGGAACTGCTTCACATCAGCGAACCTGACCTTGTTTATGTGGACGGTCCTCCTGATAGCCCCTGTCCCTCCTCTGCCTCCTTCTCCTCCTCTCACATCCCCTCCCCTGAACACTACCCTGTTAGGCTACAACAGGTAAATCTCAACAAAAGCTAACAAATCCTAAATGCCTGTGCTGCAGTTTCTGCAATAAAACGGGCACGGTTAGAAAAATACTGACAAACAATAGCAAGCTTGCAGTGTGTGTGTTAGTAGTTTAAATTTCTGCCTTTGTCAATATATTGTTTGTTTGAAGTTTGTACAGTCTCTAAATTAGTGGTTGTTTCAATAGAAACATTTGAGGAGAACTGTTTTCTACGACGTAAACTAACATCATAAGCTGGATGATGAAAAAATGGAAGATGACCTGATGATTAAACTGTGAAGTGACTGTTAGAAATGAGTTGTGAAATGCTCCTGTTCGCTTTTGTGAATCTCTGCATGACTTTTCTAAGCGTTGACTGTTGTCATCTTCCTTCAGCCTTCTCATCCCTGTGTTTTGGCTGTTGATGCAGGAGTACCTCAGGCTGTCTGATGTCTATAAGATGTATGGAAATGCTTCTATGCAGCCTCACTCTCCTTCCCCCGCTGCTCTCCACTGCCTCTCCCTCGCTGTAGCTCCAGCTCTGCCATGCGAGGTAGACACCCTCCCTGCTCTCTGTCTCTGCACGAAATACTGAACCAACCAAAGCAAATCAGTCTCATCTGAAAATATGTCTCTTTTAGATTCACCTTCTTAATGATATTTCCCACTTTCTGCTCTCTCCCCGTTCTGTAAATGTGTGTGTGTGTCTTGTTTCTCTGTGTGTCTGTACGGGGTGGTTATTTGTGTGAAGGACTACATCACAGTCAGTCAATTAAGTCAGATCTTTGGGATGCAGAGACTGGATCCCTCATCTTCCTCATCTATTCCATCATTCCAACTTGCCTCCTCTCAATCTGCCTTCTCATGCTACTCAGCTGCATGTGGCCCTTCCTCCTATCTCTCTGCCCAGGTTTGTCTTTCCTAGTTGATGGTGTCCAATTTCTAAAAAGCACTTTTTGGTAATTGACAACTGTCACCACTTACTCTTCCTGACATTGCATCCATTTCTGATCTGATATTGCCACACGGGTTGGTCCATGGTTATCTTTCCTGCCTGCCTGATGCTTCTATTACTGATGCTGTTGCTTTACTGCTTCCTTTTTTTTTTTTCTTTGGCTGGATGCTTTTCACCTCAGAGCCAGCCTGAGCTGAGCAGGAATGCAATGCCTCCTATTAACCTCGAGCGCTGGTACCAGGACATCATGGCTGCTGGGGAGCCTCAGTCATGTCCTCCACCACTGCCTGCAAAGTCCTTTTCCACACGCAGACACGGGCAGGTAAATTCTCCACTCTCTCTCGCTCACTGCTGTATGCTCTCCTGGCAGCTACTTTTCAGGGTGTGAATTCAGGGCCTTGCAAAAGGGTGCTAACAACAGGCCAGATGCATCACTGTCTCGAAGCGCTGAAGCAGGTGATTCTGAATAACGATTCAACTGTTTATATTTTTATGACAAGGAGGCCCTCTAGTGGACAAAACAAGAGAGGGTAGTTTGTGAACCCTCCCTTTTACTATAAAGGTTTAATCTGACAAATCTGAAACATGAGTACGTTTAAGCTTAGTAAAGAAATTTGCTAAGATTTGTCAAAGAGAGATAGTGTTAATTGTAATCTTCAGTTTGGTAATTGATCATGTAGCCACAAGGTAAAGCATGTTACTGTAAATTGTCCTGCAAAAAATTATGGAAAAGGAAGTATTTTAGCTAACATGACCGACATCATGATTGTCACTCAATATTGCATTCAACTGAAGAAGTGAGAAACAGACAAAGACCTGAGTCACTAACTGAGGTTCAGATCAGCGCTGAGCTCGACCACAACGACAACTATAGTCCTGATCACTTGTTCAAATGAGTTCTAATGTACGTTCATACTTTGTTTTATTTTATATGCCCCAGACATGTAACCTATTTACCTCAGGTCATGAAGCACAACTGATCTGTCTTCCTTCCCTCAGCTGTTGAAGTCCAAATCAGATGGTGAGGTTGGACAGGCAGCAGCGGCAGCTCTGCCACACTGCAGTGGTGCAGAGAAAAACACATCCACCAAGGTGAGCACATCTGTCCAGCACAACTAAATTGTAATTAAATCTTCAACATACATCATGTGATGCTTTCCATGTGTTTTTCAGGGGTTACAGTTAGTGCTGAGAGAGATCTCAAACCCATTAGACATGGACTCCAGGAGGCAGTTGGCTTTTCAGAGCAAAGGTACTTGAGTCTTTCAGTCCTATCTCATCTATTTAGCACTGGAGGCTTTCACCTGACATACATGACTTTTAGACAGATAGATGTCTATAGAAGACAGCTGTGGCCATTTATTCTGGAACATGTAGGGTGACTGTAGCCTCTCGTTCTTTAAAGTCTCAATAGATAGATAGATAGATAGATAGATAGATAGATAGCTCTGATTATAATCAATTAGTAGCAATGTCTTGTCACTATCAACAGAGGGCACTGTGAGTCTTTGACAGCTGTCTGCGCCCTCTCTGCTTGCACAGATGTGTCTCCCACTGTCCATCACTCCATCCTGCATCATCAGTCGCCACCGAGTGGAAACCAGGCGTACGACACCCTGAGCCTGGAGAGCTCAGACAGCATGGAGACCAGTGTCTCCACTGGCAACTCCGCATGTACCCCAGAAAGGTGAGAGACTGGAAAATGAGCAATTGGCTCTGTTTCCATGGGAACACTCAAGTCTGCCCCGTTTCCCAGGAGAAGGGTCACTGCGCTTTGTTCCAGTGACATCATGTTTTGTTACACGTCTGCTCCCGTGACTACTAGTACACTGGCTGTTGCCATGCCAACCTCTTCAAGTTTTCACAGTGTTTTCGTGAAGTTCAAAGACTGAGTTTACTGGCGTTCATGAAGAAACCTTTGCCTTTGTCTTCTTGCAGTGTTTGGTTTCCAGGCATGTCTGTTTACTTTTTTCAATCCAACCCTTGTTGTAGCTGTGTCATCAGTCGCTCCTTCCCTCTGTGTGTTGTAGTGCCTGTGGGTTAGAGGCCCAGAGGATAGAAGAGATGGAGAAGATGTTGAAGGAGGCGCAGCAGGAGAAAGCCAGACTGATTGAGAACAAAGTGAGTTCCTAGCTTGGGTGCTGCAGAGTTTTGATGTGAATGTTGCTTCCTAATATGACTGAAAACCAGTTATCCCATCACTTCCAAAACTTCATCTCCTCCAAGGTCATGTAAAGTTTCAACTAAAGCTGCAATGGGGGCTTTTTAAAAACATTTAGATTATTTTTATGGTTACACATTTGGTTGCAGGAGTTAAGGCTGGGTAAAATCTGTAACAATATTAATAAGAACATAACAATGTCTTCCGCTATAAATCACAGTATGATAAATGTGTGCAAATCATATGTGAAATAATCAAATTGATGCGCAATGAAATTAATTCTTACATGTTCCACTGTTTTCATCATTGATCTGACTCTCTCTACCTACATGTAATTAAAGATCATTTAATAACAAATCTAGTTAGTTTTTAATTATATAAAATTTGTGCAAATCATTCATTTGGACGACAGATTTTATAAAACGCAAACATGATATGATCATATAATTACTAAACAAGCCAGTTTCACTGAAAGACAATAAAATGTAACTATAAATTATTGGAGAAAAGTCTCATGTTGCTCAAAAACACAGTATATCTGTGTCATTGTGAAAGTGATCATTGAACTAGTTTGTTTACCTTTGTATTATTTCTACATGTTGAAACAAAGTAAACCTGTATGTAAGTGTCTGAAAGCTGCAAAGGATCATTTTACATCAGCAAAGCTTACCCTTCTATACACAGACTTAAGGGATATATTTTACAAAACCCTGGATTGGGACTTGAATTCTCATGTGCCTCTTCTGATAGTCATCCACTTTGTATTGCAATATTTGCCTACCATTAAGATATTCTCCCTGTCTCCTTGCCCCCCCCCCCCTCATTACTTTTTTCTTCTCTTCTCTCCATCTGTTCCTCTTTCTCCTCTCCCGACGCTCCCAGGAGAGGGAGGTGCAGGCTCGGCGGCAGATGTTAGAGGAGGAGCGGAGGAGGCGAGAGGAGGCCGAGAGGAGGCTTCAGGACGAGACGGCCCACAGGCAGAGGCTGGTGGAGGAGGAGGTGAAGATGAGAGAGAAACACTTCTCCCAGGTCAGTGGAGCAGCCGGAGGAGACAGCGGCGGGAGGGGTGGGAGGGAGGGAGGGAAGGAGACTTGGGGGAGAGGATGAGAGGCGAGACACTAAAGAGAGGCTGGGTATATGGGAAGATCAAAGGTTGTCAGGGAAGGGAGAGAAAGGGGGAGAGAATGGAGGGGAGGGAAGAGAGAACAGACAGTAAAATGGATGGGGATGGAGGGAATAAAAGAATATAATATACACATAATTCAAGCTTTAATCTTGTCTGATTGTGTTTAATCACCAGCTTCTGTTGTATGAGTACAAGTAAACAAATATGCTGAAATACGAATTCACCTAGCTCAGCTTATTCAGACTTTTATATCAACAATAGATCAAATGACTACGTCTAATGTGAAAGCTGTTGCTCATAGTGATGAGACTATTAGACTAGTAGAGCTTTTTAGTGTCTTTCAGCTCATTGTTTTGGTTTTACAGGCCTCAAGCGCCATTTTCAAATGCAGCAGACAGCTGTTTTTAGCGAGAAAAATTTATGATGATAAGCCCACTGTACAGGAGCACCTAATGCCTTACAGCAACATCAGAGGCAAGCTGGTGAACATATAGTGAAGTATAAAGCTGCCAAAGAGATAGATATTTTCCTCAGGAGTTGATGGACACCCTAAAAGAGCTAAACTAGAGTGAATATTGGACTTTCATTAATCTGGTGGCCAGATACATGACTCCAAATGAATGCTGATGTTGTTCTGTATCTGCTGGGTGGGTAAATACGTAGGCAACTGTTTGGCATCAAGTTCATGTTCAGCCATCAGCTTCAAAGATGATGATGTGTCAGTACTACACCAAGTGGCCAAAATATCTGTTAAAGCAGGTGGAAGTCACAAAAATGAGGACATGAGATTTCAGAAGTCTCAGGGTTTGACACATTTTCACAACTTGAATGATGAATGGTGAATAGATCCTCAACAATGTCAGGCAGGACTCTATTGTACTGTGCCATTTATTGTAAATGGTCTGAAACCCCATCTTGACTTCTTATTTGGTTCTGAAGTCTTGGGACCTGACTTGCCCCAAAATACTTTAAATCAGTTCTTGCTAATCACTCCCTCATCTCACTCTATTTGGTAGGCACATTTAAAGCAATATGATACACTTTCTTCACAGGCCCGTCCAATGACGCGCTATCTGCCCAACCGTAAGGAGGAGTTTGATCTACGCGCCCACGTGGAGTCGTCCGGCCACAGCATAGATACCTGCCCCTACGTCATCCTCACAGAGAAGATGTGCAAGGGCCACCTGGTGAAAATGGGTGGCAAAATCAAATCGTGGAAGAAACGCTGGTTCGTTTTTGACCGTCTCAAGAGAAACTTCTGTTATTACGTGGGTGAGGATACTGTATAATGACATTTCATCTATGAAATTAGGGTGTATTTGCTTAGATTTTATGACTAATTTGTTAGTTGAGCTCACACTGATACTGAAGATCTCTTTCACAAGAGACACCTGAAGATAAATCACATTTGAAATGATTCAGTCACAACACAGACACTAATTAACTAAGTTGCAGTTCATTCACAGAACTTGTATAGGGAACTTTTAAAACTAGGCTATCCTGTGATCTGGTGCCTCAGTTATTAGCCTTGAACTAAAATATCCTATTTATTTGGTGATGTGTCACTGAGGTGAGTACCCGGTGAGGAGAAATTAAGCAGCTATAACACCTGCTGGTTTCAACCTCACAGGGTCTTCATCAGGGCGGAAATAAAACCAAAATGATTACACCTGCTACTCTAAATAGATCACATAAAAACATCAAAATATTCATATCCTAAAAATAAAATAGAAATAATGATCATATGAATTATATCAATCAGAATGATGCTTTGCCATCAGTGGGTAAAATTCACTTTCATTTTTTCATTGTTGATTAAAAAGATTCATAATCTATTTCCTCATTCAAACCTGGATATTTTAAGGCATCAAATTTAAAAAGCCAACAGGTTTCTATCTGAAGCTGTTCTTTAGTTAGTCAACCTGCTCTGATAGACTGTTTAACACACTCTATTTCCTCTACCTTCTGAAGACTGTCATTACACTCAGGATGTTCAGCAAAGTGAGTGAGTGAGTGTGATTTGTTGTCTCCAGACGGACAGGTGGGGCACATGTTGTTAAAATGAATGGGTTTTTTTTTTCTATGTTTTGTAAGTATCCTTAAGTCTGAGAAATCCTTGGGCGTGGCTGTGGAATATTTTGGTTTGGAAAAGACTTTTCTAAACATGGGATCCTGAGAATATCCCTACTGGATTCAATGGTGTTATTCATCTGTTGACCCTGTTTACTATAACACATCACTACATACAGTACATACCAGAACTCTCATGATCTTGTAAGATCCGTCCAGAAAAGTTGTGTTATATGTTGAGACTGTCTATTAAAGTGCATTTCAAAATCTGCGAATTTGCAAATACCACATGAAGAGCAGCTTAAGTAAAAAACACACCCTTCCCTCCTCCCTCCCTCATGCCCCTTGAGGTCTAAAAGTCACACCCTATGTTAAATACTACTCTGCACCAACAGGACTTCACACGAATGGCATCACTTTAATGAACTTTTTTAGATTCTGGATAAAGGAACGTTCAAGTTCTGCTTGGACTGGCTTGTTAAATTCACAATGTTTACAGAAACGGCTTCATTTTAATGAGATCTAACCAATTTTCTCACATTACAATCCACTCATATGTATTATTTCCCAGCTGTACACACCAGGCTGAGACCTGGCTTATTTGGTTCACCTGACAGCAGAGCTGAGGCTCCTCTGGGGAATGTGCCCTTCACTCTCTTTGCTGTGTCTGTCCCAGCCAGCGTTTGTTACCAGGAACCAAACACTAATTAAAGCTGCACAAAGTGGAATTTTCCGCCTTGTTGTGTGTCAGTTGGTAATTCTCGTCTGTCAGACCGTCCCCTCCATTTCAAATGAGAACAGTTAGTTTTCTTAATAATTCAGGAGCGTGTTTTGAGATATTATTTTACAATCAAGTTCAAAATACAATCCAAGTATATTTTCATTACTGACGCCCCTGTTCCCTTTGCTCCTCTCTCTCCACTCACTTGCCTAGCCTTTTCACCCCCTCACTCCTGACGAAGATGATGGTGATGATGGTGATGAAATAAGATGCAATGCTTTCTCTAGATGTGTTTTTCTTGGGGAGGAGGCTAGCTCCTGGCTTGTTCGTGACTAATAAAACGAAACTCACATTTCAAAAACATTTATCTCATTACTAAGCAGATTTGACTTATGGAAAAGGGAGAGCAGGAGAAAGTGTCGGACGTATTTCAAAAGACTGCTTTTAATTGTTGCTGGATGTTTGTTTCTAAGCCACGCACTCCAGCATGCACGGAAGAGAAAAAGAAAAGACCATTGTTTATTTGAACAAGACTGAAATCCAGAAACTCTTTTAAACACATTTTATTTGAAGAAAATTGATCTTAGACGAGAGAAAGTCTCCTTCACACTTGAATTCCTATAGTTTAGCCCCAAACTAGAAAAACCCCTTAAGTCCAGTGACTGCGTCCGATGAGCTCCATCTGCAGATTTCACTGAAACATAACTACCAAACTCTTCAGTATCAAGTGATTTTAAAGTGGTTGAAGGTATGCTGTGAATAGAGAACGAAACTCCTGAGGACTGGACAGAAGCTCTGACCTGCTTTAAGGGAAACGTTGAACTGGAAGATCAAATCTTATATTCAAAAGAGACATTTCTTTTTAAGATTTACAAAAGATCTCAACCTCGCCGGCAGGGGAAAAAAACACAGAGACAATCCAGAAAGTACGAGTGTAGAAAACAAGTCAAATTAATAGGATGGTAAAGACTTCAGGCATAGCTTGAAATAGACTCCACTTTTAATTAACTTTTACTCTGATACAGTGCTGCTCATACCTATTCATGGATTATGTGTTGCTGGGAAAAAGAGTTAACACCTTTCTCCGCTCTTCTCTAAATTTCAGTTATTGTTCCACTCCAACTATTTATTACCACTACTGCTATTTTTTGGGGAAATTATTTTAAGAAAAACAATAATTTTTTGATGACATTAAATAAAACATGCAAAATTCCTATGCAAATTACAATAGAACAAATAATCCTCATCCATTCAAATATATCTGCTATTAACTATTGAATTGCTCTGTCCCCAGGGCAATTTTGGGCTCATTGAATTGTATTTAGTCAAGTAATTATTAATAAAAAAGCCGAGAAAAAACTGTCCCAAAGTAAAAGTGTCTAGTTTGATCATAAAAGCTAAAAAGTGTGATGGGAATCACATGTCTACAAGAAGATGAGTTCTGATGATGATTTTAAAGTGATGCCAATATAATGAACTTGCTGTCATCTCAGCCAACTTCCTTGAAAACGTCACAATTAATAAAGTCACATTTGAGTAGTTTCTTTACATATCAGTTTAATAATCTGGATAAATTACCAGACATTACAAAGCTCTTTATTTATTAGGCAGGGGTTTGCATTTTCTATGTGCACTGTTTGACGTGAGCAGTTGTTCCAGCAGGAAACCCATAAACATATTCTTCCCACTATATGCTTTTCCTACCTATTCAGAGTCACGCCTTAAAATAAAAATAATTTTTGTGTCTAGTTTTCATTTCTTTTTTGACATATTTATGTTCTAGATATAAGTTTATTTTGTACGTTTTAAGATGTTGTCTCAATCATTGGATTTCTTGTCATCTGTTTAGGGGTGTGAGATTATTTCTGGTTGCCATTAAAATGTCTAAAATGTTCTTGAAATAGAGGAATTTTTGAGACAGAATTTTTGCATATAAAATATATTTAATAACTACTGTGTGATCCTTGGGCCAAAAACAATGATAAATACTTGTTTTTTAAAGAGGAAGACTGACAATCAGTCTACTATTACTTGACCAAAAACAAACATGAAATGTGTCCCCACATCACTGGCTGGTTGTACTGTCTGCAGCTCGGACTGGCAGAGGTCTTGCATCAGTACAAGACGTAATGTAATGTATCTTAATATTTTTTTTCTTTTTCTGCTCTCAGACAAGCATGAGACCAAGCTGAAAGGGCTCATTTACTTTCAGGCGATTGAAGAGGTTTATTATGATCACCTACGCAGTGCCACCAAGGTAAACACTCTTTATTCATTACTTACAATTCATTGATTATTTTATAATGCTTTGCATGGATGCCTACCAGTTTTAAATTTAGCAGATTTATTGGAATAAAATCTGAAGGATTATATTCATTCATATTTATTCAAATTGGGAAAAAAATGTTCAGTATTTTAAAATCACAAATGACTCTGTACTCAAAACCATCATTTATAAATGAAGGTGATGCTCTAAGTTTAACAATTACCCATATTAAACTTTATCTTAACAACATGCATAACTTGTTTTTTATCAAAATGGTAGAAATACTCATTTTAGAATAGAACTACATTTCTATAGTCACTCACAATTCATTTGACATGCTTGAAATTGTGTCTGTGGTACATAAAAACAGGGATGTTTTCAATTGTGAAATATTGTTAGAGACACAGAAAGGATCCATATTAGACTGGATTAAGTTGTTTTTTGATATTTGTTAACTTCAATGAATGGATTACCTCAATTTACAAAAGTGTAAGGTGTTACAGGCTACAAAAGATCCTATTTGAAACAGACTATTGGACCAAATTATGCTTTAACTGGTAGTTTACAGTATAATATATTCTGTTGTTCTGACAAATGTCTTTGAGGAAAAAGATGCAACAGGTGCGTATTGCTGTCTTTGGTCTAAAAAGTCTCCCTCTCTCCCCACGATCTTCCAGAGCCCCAACCCGTCTTTGACCTTTTGTGTGAAAACCCACGACCGGCTCTACTACATGGTGGCCCCGTCCCCGGAGGCCATGAGGATCTGGATGGATGTCATAGTAACAGGTGCCGAGGGCTACACTCAGTTCATGAGCTGAGGGACCACTGGGTGACAGATTTGGAGGATGACGGGGACTGAGCGAGCACCCAGACACCTGCGAGCCAACCTGAGCTGCTTCCTGCTGGAGCTGACATCGATGATATGCGGCCTGATGATGTGTAACGGATGGACATCTGAAGAGATGAATAATCTGGTGCTCTCTGAGCCTGATGCCTTCGAACAAATGAGGGCTTAGTCGGTGGTGCTTTTTTGAAAGAAATTATGAGTTGTATTTAAGAAGGAAAATAGTTTGAGCAACTTGCCATTGGATGTATGAAGGGAGCTTTATAGAGACAAAACTAAATCAAACACATTCTGTTACCAAAATGTATTGTCGATAATTACAATATAATTTTTGAGGTTTCAGGAGGAACATTTTGAAGATTTCTTACTTCATATAAGCTCAAACTGTTTACACCTCTGATGCCGAACTATGCATGCAGTGTTATCACTCTAACTGATGCCTTTTTTTCCCTTTTGATACATTTGTACTTTCCCTTGAGTTTGTTAACCTTTCTCAGATTTAAAAAAAGAATCTTTTAATATTTCAAAACACTAAGAAGTAAATGAATTTTAGTAGAAAATATTCTAAAATATTTTAAAAGAGTCATATATTACACAGTATTGTTGCCAAATACATTATGTAATGTTTTTTTTTCAGATTTTTACAACACAAATTTTAATATCACTTCAGCTAAATAACACAGCATTAATGTGTCTGTATTTTACATAAATATATCAAAGAAAACCTTTTATTAGCATTTAAACAAAATTCGTAAATGATAGTCCTGTAATGATATTGTAAAACTACAGTGTATATCTAATAAATAAAAATATATGATGCATCTGATGGTTTGTTTGCCTGATAAACTAATTTGTTGCTGACAAATTGGCTAAACTGAACACATTCAGTTACAAACTGGTTCTTCCTTCATTAATTAGTGTTTCTCACAAAGAAGTCCTTAATTACCAGCTTTCTTTAAATAACCTCATACGCCCTAATGAACTAGTAGAATTCATATTTAATTGAGAGCACACAATAGGTGTTCCCTTTAAGACGCTACAACTTCTCTATTTACATAAAAGGATTCAGGTGGTTTAATTAGTTAATTGGCTCTTAATTCTCATTATCTACAGAAGTTGTTCCAAAAGAAACCTGAAAGATAGAAAACTGAAGGCATACCTCATATAGTGAGTGTATTTCTGGCTCAGCGTACTTAATTATATGGCTTGCCCTCAACTAGGTAGGCCACATAAAAATAGAAAAACATGAAGTGAAATTACATGCAACTTAACATGCATGATTCAACATCGAGAAATTTGACATCATGCGTAAAAAAAAATCTCATGGAGAAGATGTCTAACAAAAAGTTTCCATAAACAAGTTCTTGCATGAATTCCTCGATAAGAATATATTCACTGTATTTCTCTTCTTATGCCCTTGGTTCAAACCAGTAATGGAGAGGCGCTTGTGCAGATAGATAGTAATGTGTGACTGCGCTGTGTGATTAATTTACTGCAGGGATCCCTTGAATATTTCACAGATGCAAAGTTAATCACCGAAAAGCACCTTGCTCCTGACAGGTACCAATTAGATTCAGCATTTGAAACATTCATCTTTAATTCCCTGGTTTTGAAGTTAAAAAACAATATCATGTTTAATGGTATGTATTAAAATCAACATCCAATTCAGGTAAAGGATCCTACTTAAAACTCAGCCACTGATGAGAGCTATGTTTAACTGCAGCTTCATTGACAGCGTTCACAACATCTGCATTTTCTCTGACCTTGAGAGAGATTTTCACATATCGTGCTATTCAGTATCTTTGAGTCTGAAGTGCACCCGCCTGAATAATAAACAGATCTTTAAGAGAGCATGGTGAGCTCATTATCGCAGTGATGAGCATGAGTGACACCCAGCCTTATTGTTGGTGAAATATTAATGAGCCAAGTGTGATCTCTCCTCACTTTCACACATGCAGACTGGCCTTTTCCCAAGGCCTTTAGAACACAAGTAAGATAGTGAGGCTGTGAATTAGTAAAGGTCTCACATTATTTTGTCAGTATTAATGGGAGATATTAACCTTGTCTGAAAACAACCTCAAACATTCTGATGAAATGGAGATATCTCTCTGCTCAGAGGGCAAGTTCATAGCATCACCTGTCAAACACTTCCACTCCCACATCCTTCACTACATTTCACCACAGACATTTGTAATTTTTAAGTTCTCATATCCACATGTGAGTTCAGAGTAATTTAGCAGATTAAAGAGAAAAATCTTCTGCCCAACCCTGAACATGCCCACACACACACACACACACACACACACACACATACACACAGAGAGATAGAGACACACACAGAAACACGTACGCATTCAGACATAGCAGATGAAAGCATCTAAACGAATCTAAATGCATCTGATACACCAGTGAACGTTCCACTCTTAATGTGTACCGCTTTGAACAGATCATCTTCAGCCTCTTTGAAGGGAATGTAAAATGACAGTCATTAATTTAAAATAGGGTACATGATATACAGATCATTAAATTGCAATAAAAGAAACATGTTTTTGGGTTTTCGTGGCAAGCACAACAATAATATCTGAAAAATATCCAGAGGGGAAAAGTGCCAGCGTTGACCTAATGAGGCCAACAAAAACACAGATTGTAAATACCACAGCTGCACCCAAGTGTGGGATATTATTCTTTTTATTTCATTGACTACCAGCCATGAAAGTGAAGTGCTTTCCAATTTCATCGCAGCGTGAAAACTTGTATCTTATTGTATGTGTTTAGCCCCATTACTACCCACCCAATTCTTAGATAGAGAAATATTTTCAAACTCTTAATATACTTACACAATTCATATAAAACAAAGTAAATGTATCAGAAAAAGACTAGTTATTCTCTAGCTCTTTTTCAAAATTTCGTGCCTGCAATATAATCATTTTGGGACCCATTGCTGGGGTATGATGGCCTTGACCTTTGCCCTCAGTAAATTAGTTTGTGCTTGTAAGTTCAGTGATGTAGTTAGATTTAGAGCAATAGAATGGTGAGGAATAGAAATGTTTAAAATTGCCTTTCTTAAAAGATGAATTAGATTTAATTTCATTTAATATATACAGGTATAGATAAATTTATATGTAATTTAATCTACAATTTAAAGTTCACTAAACATAAAATAAAGTCAAGTGACAGTTAAGTTAAGTTCTGATGAGTGTATTGTATAAATTGTGTTATGAGTATGAGGTATATGGCCTAAATGAACACGTATAAAGCTCCAAGGTGAGAGACGCTGAGCCTCTGGGGTTTAAATGGCTCTGCAGAGCAGCATGACACAGCCTGAGTGCTGCGAATGACACCGAGGAACCATGAGGGACTTGTTTGCCATGTTTGCTTAAAGAGCTAAAAAGGTACAAAGCACAAGTGAGTCACGAACAGTAAATCTGAGTAAAAATCTGCATCGCTAAATTATCATTTTCCAGATAACCCTGGTTGTTCTGTTGTTAATGATAACGTTCTGTTTCATCTGCAATTTCTGCAAATTCTATGACCTTTTTCTTACATAAGTTTTAAAATTTGACTTAATTTTCTATCCACAATATTTCTCAATCTACTGCTGATATTAAAGTAAGTATATAGTATGGGTTTTAACTTTATCATACCAGGTCAGTACAGGCTATGCTTTGTGTGTGATGCACGCCTCCATTCAAGATGCCTGTAGGAGTTAGAGCTAGTTAGAGGTGATCTCCTAAAAGCTGTGACATCCCAAAGGATGACAAAACAGACGCTGTAGTCCTTTACATCAAACACCTCTAATTTACCATGAAGTCCTTGAGGAATAGTAAATAAACAAAACCATGTGACTGACTGATACAGATCAGTCATGGCTCCATGCAAATGAAGTTAACCTGGTTTAAACATTCATGAATGAAAAATCATATTATGTTTGTCACTTTTTCAAGACTTGATTAATACTTTTCATGCCAAAAAGAAACAAATGAGAATGATTTGTAGGCTGAACACACACAAAAACATCCACAAATCCCCTCTGAGAGGTTTCCATTCACAAGTTGTAACTGAATTCCATGTTTTCTTCATATGTTCAAAGAGGGGCAAAAGTTGAGGACAATAAATTCTGAGGGAGATGATGATGAAATGATGGTGTAACCCTTACTAACGTGCCATACGTGCACTTGGCATGCAGCATTGACTTTTCTGACTTCTCGGCTTATACACAATATTCAGACAATGAATTTGGGTATCATTTGATGGACAGCCTTGTTTTGGTGTAGAAAAGTGATAATAAACACCTCAAATATATTTGAAGCTCAGTTTTACCCAAACTTGTTTATGTCATCTAACGTCCTTCACTTAATTCACCAGTTAAGTTTCGTTGTGTTGTTTCAACAACTTGGAAAATTTAGATTATCTTGATTTTGCAGTGAGACACTAAACCCATTGGATTATCTAAAGCAAGAAGGAGAATTGGTGGCATTTTGCTGTGTAATTGACTCATTTTACATCGTTTCCTACATGATGATAAAGGAAATTGTACTCAGTAGCGGGGACAATGGGGAAATGCAGCAGTAGTGTCACAAGCAGCACCTTGGACTTTTCTCATGATGCGCAAACAGGAAGCCCTCAGTGGACCAATTAATACAGACAGAGAGAGCAGTCAGCGATTTCCTGGGAGACCCTGCAACTTCACCAGCTACTACTGTTTCAATCTGGTCTCCATTACGACCACATTTATATGGATTGCATCAGGTAGTCTTTCTACAAATCTCTAAAAGCTCCGCTCATGTGATTGCTATCACACAGTGGGCAATTTGCTGAATAGCCCCTCTGTGACAGGGCTGTCCCTTTAAATGACTCAGTTTAACACAGATGGACATGAGTATATTAGAGGCCTGCACAAAACACAGAAATTCACTGTAATCTACAGATACTGAGTTTCTGTAGATTAACTCTATTCAAAGGAGATGTTTCTCCTGCATGGAAACAACTCCTCTATAGTTACTCTGGATAATGTGATTATGTGAAATCAATTCAAGTTAGATGTTTCCTGACTTTCAGTCAATACAGAGACATGTTGCTCAGTGGACAAATCTATTAGAGGCTAGCCGCTAGTGTCCCATCGATATGCAAATTCAGCAGAACTGGAAAGAAGCCTATTGGTTTTGGCAAAATGATAATGTCACAGACATGCAACTCAGCAAATGAGAGGATGGAACTGTTGGGCAGGGAGGGGTGCAGAAACAGAGGTGAGGTGGAAGGAAAACAGTAAGTACAGAGAAAGAAAGAGAGAGAAAGAGAGAGAGAGAGAGAGAGAGAGAGAGAGAGAGAGAGAGAGAGAGAGAGAGAGAGAGAGAGAGAGAGAGAGAGATGCAAATCCCATGGCAACAGCAACCAGAAAACAAGTCTAAAATAGGGGGCAGTGTCCGCTATTACTATAGCAACAGGAGAACAGCACATTCACTCAGCTTCGGGATTTGCTGAAAGGAGAAAAACAAAGCTTTATTCCTCACATAATTTTTATTGGCAGTCATTACCAGTAAATTAATTTGGTTCTGCCAGCTGTGTCTCACTAAATTAGCTACGAAAATAAGGATTCTCAAAGTGTATTAGGATAACAGTCAACAACACAGAGCAAAGAATTTCAGTCATTTCATCAAACAATGCCCTGGTGATGTTGATATTCATACGAACTGACAACTATTGATTAAATAAATCAAAAAATAAAAAAGAAGAATGAATGATGATATAGCATAATTACAACAGAGTAATTGAAAAATAATACCAGACTCTATGCCTATGATGACAACATAGACTCCTTTTATTAAGTATTTTTTCAATCAACACACTGCTGCAAAACTGAGGCCAATAATAATTAATGCAATTTAGAGACTTTTTTTCTCAAGACTTAACTATCACAAGCTGTTTTGAAAGAAAATGAATGAACTATTAAGTTGTAACTCAAAATATTATAAAGCTTTTCTCAGACATAAAAAATGCAGTACTGATTTCCACACCCGGTTTGTTTACCTGAAACATGTGCACAGTCTGCACTGCAGAAAAAAAAGGATAACACAGTGATGCTTTGCCTTGCCTACCATTGACCAATCAAATGTCATATCTACCCAAATCCAACCAATGACAGCGCGACAGTCTGAGCACGCTCAACCAATCGCTCTGAGCATGGACCACTGATGCAACGGAGATGCAAGAGACTTCTACTGAACAACAAAGTGCGCTGTGAATCAAATAGTCCCCATCCAAAACAATACCATGCCTCGTTGTACAGTATAGTCTCTGAACTGTAGTGGTGTGTGTTTGAGAGCCGTGTTCACGTAAATCAAGCCTCTCAGCAGGTAATGGACGTCAGTTTTCAGGGCGGTGCACGCCCCGTCGAGCTCTGAAACTAACGGTCCTGCCCCGTCTCCCCTGGCAACAATGGGCTATGAGAAAAACAATGACACGGTGTAACGCGTTACAGTAATGTGATTACTATCGGATTACTACTGAAACACTAAACCGAGGTGGAACCACTTATTATTTACCTACCCAGTTAAATCTCACTGTTCCGTTGACACATCCACAATGAATTGTTCATGAGTTAAACGTCTTTTCCCGTTGGTTTTCACAAAAATGTACAATTATCCCCCTCTCCATGGAAAAGTAACAGCTGTGTGCGATAACGTAGGCTATACATTTAATGACATGTTTCCCTTTTATCCACCGGGAGCAAGGTTTTTGAATTTGAAAGAATCTATGACTGTATTACAATAGTAATTCAAGAAATTACAACTCATCGTAAAACATTAAGTGATGCCATTATACTTTAGAAACAAGCATGAAGGAATAACTCACTTCTTTTACACAGGAGCCCAGCAGTGAGTTTGTGGGACGTCCTTCGACAACACGCGGAGGGAGGGGGCGGAGGGATCTAGCAGCACGGTTTGTCCTGGTGACGCAGTTGGTTGCTAGGTGTGAATGAACTGATGCTTTCTCACAATTAAGCCGCTCCTCAGTTTACAGGTCGACCACAACAAAGCAACAACTCGTTCTTTTGCGCTGTCCCGGATATTCCGAGCTAAAATATGGCTTTTTAAATTCGTGAAGCTGTTGGACCCGAAAAGAAGTCGTGCTTTGCTTTTGCAACGCACCCCCAAGTGCTCTACATTTTTTTCTGCAAGAATGGAGTAAGTCATTGTTACAGTTATCACTTTGTTGTATCTGCTTGTGAGTCACAAGTGGTCCGTTCTTTGGCTGGGTTCTTTGCGTTATATGTAGATGCCTTATATGCTTATACTTTAATTTCTTCAAATAGACTATTTGCCTAAATATTCCATGCTTATTTAATGGCGTTCCCTTCAGTGAATGGGCTGTTTTGGTTGCTTTGATAACATTACTTGGTAGGGTTAATACAAGACTGTTGTGTTACTGTTGATGGTGTGACGATATAGTCTATATTTCATGTAAATTTATAATTTCCAGCCTATGTAGCCTACTGTAAACTGGAGATAAAGTATCACATTTCTGTCATTTCAGTTTCATGTCTTGCAATGTTTTCACTTAAATATCACATTATTGTCAACTAAAGCTGAAGGGCTTAAGTGATCAAACAGAGGTGATTCATTTAAAAGGAACACGCGATTGGAAGCAGGTGATCTGCATTAATCCGATTTAATGATTAGGGTGTCTCTCACTTTGAGCGAAGTAGTTACTCTGGTGTCTTTTGTCAACAGTTGGGCCCTTGACGGCGTCACTAGGTCCCACGTGTTTTGAGGATGTCAAGTGCATTTTGCTTTGGGCCAGTTCAAAGCCCAGAGGAGACAGCTCTTACCTTTGTATCACTGATTGCCAGTTCTGAGTGTTGTTTTTAGAAATAATTCATTTTCAGTTCTATTTTAAATCATTGGTATTTGCTGTACAAGTGTATGTTTAGGAGATTTAATTGTCTATTGCTCAAAAGCCCATGATCCTTACATGAGGATTTGCAGATGATTTCTTCATTGTGGCATCTTTGTTAAAACAGACTGAGTCATGTTGAGAAAGTTGCTGAGAGCAGCAAGAGGGATATTCCTCATTCCATCAGCCGACTGAGTAAGTTTTTTCAGTCTTTTCAGCTTCACACTTTTCTGAATGCTGTTTCTGTTTACCCTCTAGGTTTCATTATGCTCACCCAGCCCTGCTCTCTGTGGCCCATCTGTCAGACCCTGCTTTCTCTCAGCATATGCTTGGACTTGGACTGAATCAAAGCACCAACAGACAAAATGATGGCAACATCAGCTCCTGTTTGGAAGACTCTTCGTGTCTGCCCGGCAGACCCCCTCGCTCTCTCTCACCCACAGGCTAACCACAGCCAATCACAGGGGTGCAGGGGGGAGGTGTCAGAGGAGAGTCAGCACTTAATTGGTGAGTTGCAGCGAGTACGCTTTTTTATATTTTTCCCCATTTCAGGTGGGCTCGGCACTGCAGCACATTCGTCCTTCTTGAACAGTAAGTAATAAACTAGCTTCGTCTAATACAATGATATGCTGCAACTTTATTTTGAAAAAATATTGCTTTGCATTTATTATTATGAATTAGATCATGCTTTTAGAAAACTGCGACATGCACTGTTGGATGACTTATATTTTTATATTTGCATGAACGCTATTTTTTAGCTGTAGTATTTTCCTCTACGAGACAGCTTGTAACGACTGCAATTTTTTACCCTCCTCAATAGGTGATGGTCTCACTGACTGGATGACGGAAGAAGTGGATTTCTCCTCGTACCTCCCAAACCCCCCTTCCCCTCCCTCCTCCACCAATGCCTCCCTTCCCCCTTCACCCCTTCAGAATGATATCCAGGTGCCCTCTGACTTGGAGGTCATGACCTCCTTGCTGCAGGAGGAACTTGCCCAACTAGAGGACTACTTCCTGTCTGAACCAGTGCCAGAGAAAGGGCCGAGGCTGGGAAAATGTGACAGGGGTCCACTGCCGGTGGGTCCTCAGCCGTTCAGTCAGCTGCCATACGCATCATACTCTACATCCAACCAATCGGAATCCAGCCCACTTCTTGTTACCCTGGCAACCGGAGAACTGGACCTGCTGAGTATCTGTGGCGGGCCCATTGGGCGATCCAAAATTCCAAGACACGCCCCGTACAGCTGCAGTCGCCCCAGTGGGTGTGGTAGGAAAAGAGTTCCTGATAGTGTTAGGTTCAGTGAAGGCTATGATAACAGTTTGTTGAATTCCAAAGGAAGCAACTCAGGTAACTCAGCAGTGACCCTGACAGGTAATTATGGCTGTGTAGAAGACGAGCAGCTGGTAGGAAAAAGCTACTGTCTGGGTAGCGCAGTCGAGGTCAGAAGATGTGCCGTTCTACCCAAAGAAGAGAAAAATTGCTGTTTCAGTCAAGATGTTATTGGTGGTGCAAAAGTTGTTGGTGGAGGATTTGGCTTTGGTGGATCACTTGATGTCCCACACAAGAAAGAAGATTTGTTGATGTATAGCATGAGGGAGGTCAGTGGAGGTACCAGTAACAGCGAGGTGCTGAACAGTATCAAAACTAGTGTGGAGGTGACAAAAGCCACTGTTTCTTGGAAAACTGAGAACAGTGAAGGTTGTTATCTTCCAACAACACCGCAGCCTGAGGCCTATCATAGCTTTTTAGGCAACATCAATGACCAGGTCAAATCAGAGAGTCTACAAATAGGGCAGCATGATTTACACTGTAATTTCCTTGAGGATCAGGGGCCAGAGTGTCTTTTAATGGCTAGGGAGAGTCTGAACTTGGAGTCCTCAGGGCACAGACAAGCATGCAGGCTGAAGGAAGACCACTCTGCTGTGAAATACGAAGTGGACATCACTCCAGTTGAAGGCGGTGAACGCAAACAGAAGAAGAGAGATCAGAACAAAACTGCCGCTCACAGGCAAGTTTGGTTTCTGCTTGATGAAGTGTAACTTTTGGCACAATTTCACGGGTAAAAATCTTCATTGAATCTTTCTTTTGCTTAATGCAGGTATCGCCAGAGAAAAAGGGCGGAGCTAGATTCTTTGGAGGAACAGTTGCATTGTCTTGAAGGGAGGAACCGGGAGCTCCGGGACAAGGCAGAGTCCGTAGAACGTGAAATCCAGTATGTTAAAGACCTGCTGATTGAAGTTTACAAGGCCCGTAGCCAAAGGCTCAAGCAGGACACAACAGGGTAACACCAAGCTCCTGCAAGTACATTTAAAGAGGGTGTAACAGGGAAAATGTGGAGCTTTTTGTGTCTTTAAGATTGTCCAGAATTGAATGTTTAATTTAGTTTTTTCATGGCGGGCGGGGTAAATGCATGCTTTGCTATGTGTGAATTATTTTTTACATTTCAAATCAACACTATCCAATGCTTCCACTGCTTTCGCACTCTATTCACTTGAGCCTGCACTGTGGCATTGCAATGCTTTAAATGACAATCATTTTTAATAGGTCTCGCACTGCGTGAATTTACAAATTGAAATAGGGTTATTTCTTATGAAGTAATGTTATTCATTATGCAGGTTTAATCTTTTTAATAGCCTTACATTGGAAGTGATGTCAGCAATAGAACTTGATGTTTTGTTTTCAGTTTTAAACTTTTATTTGCAATTACTGTATCACCCTTTTGAATTGCTGAAGTATGAAATATGTCGTTGGTATCAAATGCATCATTTTATTTTGAACACATCTTTCAAACCAAATATTTTCTAGAATAATTTCTAGTCACCCTAAAACAGCAAATGATATTTCAATTGCTATAAATATTTTGAAATATAAATGTGTTGACTTATACAATTGCGGAAAGAACCGCTGACATACAGAGGGGGAAAAAACTTTTTGTCAACCTTAGCAAAAAATGTAACATTTTTATAATTTCAATATTTTATATTTTAAAATGTTTTTTGACAAAGCATTTGATCAACTTTAGGTCTAATATTCAGTAGTTCATGGGATCTCTATATATAGAGATGTTAGAAATGTTACTTTGTCTACTATATTTACATTTGGTTTTCTGAGATTTGCATTACATGTGACAAATCACCTTCTTTTTTCAGCAGTGGCTGCAAATATTGCCCCAGTTATAGATTCTGTGAGCAAAAGAGAAGTAATTTAATATTTATACTATTTTGAAGATAGAAACTGGCATTTTTTTTGTGTTTGTGGCAATTTGTAAAATTTTCTTCTCTTACATATTGCAAATTATACAATCTCTTTTGCAGTTAAGGATATGCAATTTATCCGACAAATGCAAGTTGATAATTTATTACAGGAGATTACATACTCTTCTGACCTTCATTTTACATGGTAAAGATTTCACTGACATACAGCTTTTCCTAATGTAAAAAATTGGTTTTCCAAATGTACAAATGTTGTAACTAGTGGTAGTAACTAGCAGTCTCCTTCTGCATGTTTTTCCATAAATGTACCTTTTCTCTGTCTCTGGAATAGCAAATTTAGGATTTCAGAAATAAATCGGGGATTCTTTCTCTAATCTGCTTGTTAAGGCAATAAGTTTTATAGGCCTCTGGCTGATCTGCACTAATTTGTAAGAACTTTTGTATATTCAGGGAGTGGAGTGTGTAAGTCTTTTCTTTTTAGAAAATTAACTTTAAAAAATCTCATTAGACTATTTGTTAAGGCTTTTGCAGTGTTAGCTTTGGTGTGAGAGGATATTGTCTAATTTGTTTTCCAGTTCTTTTGTTGCTATTCTTAAAAAAAAAAAAAAACCCACTAGTTACTGTTGAACATGCCTATACTGAGGATAGATTTTTTTCTATGCATATTTATTTTAAGACAATCTTGAAAATAAGCGGTGACTTATGGATATTTATTTATATTCAGTTTTTGGCAAGAAACCCGTGTCACATTTTTGACCCCCCTGCGGTGTACTATCAACTCCGATTGTTAAAACCAAAAATGTGTAATGACAACAAAATTTAAAAGCACATTACAATGATTTGTAATGACAAGTTCATTTAATCATATATGCGTATTTCCTTTGTGTGTCGTCAACTTTTTTCATTTCAAAATAAAATGTCATCAACTCAGTCTGCTGTTCCAGATCTTTTCTCTGTCCGAGCCGGCCAACCCATCAGAAATGATCTGTGCCTGCTCCGATTATAACAGTCTGTCTGTTACAATCACAAAGTAGGCTACAATCTGCTGTCTAAATGAGAATGAAAGGTACTTGCCTTTTTAAATGGTCATAAATCCCTTTTCCCGGCAAAGCGGAGTTCAGACCTCCTGGGCCTGATGGACGCCGAAAAACGCTCCTTTTGGACCCAAACCCGCGGGCGTGGATACTTCCACACCATTAGACACCTGAGAGGAATGAAAACGTTTATCGGTCTCATCGGCAACGGCGGGTCCTTTTTATTTAATGGATATCATGCTGCAAAATGAACAATTTCAAATGAACAGTTGAAGTCAAGCCGTTTTTATGGATTTGGCCACAACCTGCCTCAAAAGGCTTTAAAATCTGTAGCATCCAGCACACGACACCCTGTTCTCAGACCCTCATTTCGGTTGAGGAAAACCTAATACAACCAATATTAAAAAAAACTTAACTGAAAACGAAAACCTGCTGCTGTGACACGGATCATAAAGAAACACGATTAATGCAAAAGTTAATCGACCCACCTATTTGTTGCTCTTTTAACGACTATTCATGATTATTATTGCCGAATAAGAAAGAATAGAATAAATCTTTATATCTGTAAATCAACATCATAAATGTTTAAATGAATTAAATAAATAATCTCTTCTCTAATTTAAAAATCTGCCGATATTTCTGTGGGATTTTGTTGAACGTTACGTTGCTTTTTCTTATGAAACAGGAACAATGGTGTCATGAAATTAAAATTAAGATTACAGTAAAAACAAAGCACACAGCCAACAAAGATCGCCATTAGTAAAAAAAAAAAAAAAAATTTATTTGCACCATTTTAACTGTATAGATTAACATACTTCAGAAAAAATAAAAAAACAGGGGATATGATTATTATTCCTTGTCCTCTTTCACATCGCTTAAGACATGTGGAAGTCATAGGCTACTGTAAAGTAAGGAGGAAGAAGGAGGTTTTTTTTATTTTATTTTAAACCCATCAACTGGACTCATTCACAGCTGGCCAATGAGCTGATGATAGTTGCATTGTGGAGGTGCATGTTGCGAAGCCTGAAGAAGTTTCTTACTGGCGTCCAGGGATCTCAGGACCTTGAAATAAATACAGAAGAAAATGACTAATTTGAAATTAGTGTTTAAAGTGTTAACACATAAAGACGTGTGACTGATTGAGGCAAGACATTTTACTAACCCATGAAAGAAGATGCAATGACCAGTAAGGAAATGACTGAGCTCAAGGCAATTGTATAATAATTAAGAGGCACATCCTTAAGGCATTAAAAAGGAAGAAGTGAATTTTCTTCCATGAAGAATCTTAATATTCTCTAATAACTGAATAGTTAAACGTTTTGCTATTAAACGATGAAATTGACAAAAAGGTCCTTCTAACCAAATTCTGAAGACAGAAACAGACTAATGTCGACATCTACCCTCCTCTAACCTGTTCATTTCATTACCTGGCGTATTGCATCCTGCTCGCTGTACAGGCACAGGGTTGCTATGGCAGCTTGTCTCACTGCATTGTGGGAATCTGTGCATGCAGCTCTGAGAAGTAAGCTGGACACGTCCTCCTCCAACAACAAGGATACAGCGCCATCAACATTCACCAGGTTTCCCAGAGCTGCACAACAGTGACGACGTGTGAGGGCATCAGGGTCGGTGATCAGAGGCGCCAGCATGGCTACTGTCCTCCTGGCTTCCTCTGTCCAACTGCTCTCCTCATCATCATCCACCCCTTGCTCTACTACAGTAGCCAGATCTCCTGCTGTCTCATTGTGTGAACACTTGTGTTGCTTTTGTTCCCTCTCTTTGTCCCAACCTGTAGTGTCACTGCCCTTTCCATTGGACTTGCCCATTTTGAACCGTGCAATATATCCCAACCAGTTCCCTACTGCCCTGCAAGCCATTCGCTGGACAGGCGGGCAGGGATCATGCAGACAGCCTATCATGCTTTTGAAAATGTCAGGTTGAAGCGTAGGAGGCCTGAATGGATCCAAATTTCCCAAAAGTCTGCATGTGGCAGCCCTGATCTGGTCATGAGAGTGAGCCAGCGCCTGGTGCAGCACTGAGGCGTCCAGGTAAAGCTGAAGGCTGGCAGGCCGAGCAGAACAACAGGCCACTTGGGACAACAGAGTTAGGAGCTCCACGGCAGAGTCCCACAGCGCATCCAGCTGCAGCAAATCAAAGAGCAGAGAGCTGGCAGTTCTGATTAGTGAACACTGGTGTTTGGAGGCAGAGAGCTGGCTGTCCCCGGGTGGCGTGAAAAAACCACGAGCAGCTTTTCTGAGGCGGGAAACGGAGCGCTCAAGGTCACAAAGGAGCAAACGGCTCAGCAGGGAGAGAGGCAGCTCCAGTAGCGGAGGAGGGAGAGTTTGAATTACCTGCCAAAGCATGAAAAACAAAACCACCCAGACAACTTGTCACAGATCAAACAGCCAACAACACACAGCGACATTAAGATGTACAGTAGTGTGAGCCTGATGTGAGCCTATTGCAAGAGTTATCCTGTGTTGCATCAGAGAATTATGTTTGTCTGCATGGTCTTTATTGGAACATGGGAAGGCCCTAACCTGCAGGAGGCTTGCGATAACACCACAACTGTCATACAACTGGAGAATTGTGGACATGGTGTGTGAAGGCAAGTCCAGGGCAAATGGAATGCACAGCAAGTGGCAGCTCAACACGGACAGGCTGTCATGACTCAGGTCCACTTCAAGTCTCCCAGGACTGACTTCAGCAAACAAATGAAGACTGTAGGGTATAAAGAGGTTATTGTTAGGCGTAGAAGCTGTGCTGCTCTAACATTTGTGGTACATTTGAAACATTTGAAGTTAATTAAGACATCTGTACACCAACCAGTCAGTGCCCAGCAGCCGGCCAAGAGTGTAAATGCATTTTGATTCCCTCTCAGAAAACAGAGGAATGCATGAGTGCGGATCCTTCGTGAAGACAAACAGTGCCGTAGACAGAAAGTAATACAGCCCTGATGTAAAAAGAAAATGAAAAAATATGTACATTTTTAACATCTAAGTGTTTTCAAATAGGCTGGGTTTCATATATTTACTGCATATATTTACCCTTTGCCGAACAGATGCCTGTGTCTGCTGTTGTCTTTTTGAGTGAAGTACCAATTTTTTTCCACAAATCCAGAAACATAACCGGGTCTAAACACGAAGATCCAGAGCCACTTTCATGCTGTTAAGAGAAAAAAAAACAGCAAATTCACTAAGGAAAAAGATTGAAGGTTTATGTCTGGGATTCATCCAGTCTAATTTTTTATCGCATTGCAGGTATTGTCTGACCTCAGAGAGCATGTGTAGGAGTAAAGACAGGAGGCCATCACAGAGTCCCCAGCCAGAGGGAAGAGAAATTTGGGGCTGACAATGCAGAGAAGAGAGTAACACTTCAAACAGTGGTGGATCAATTTAACCTTGCATCAAAAATTGTCGAAATATCGCTGAATACATGAATCACAGATTCAGTACCTCATATGAGTCCAAAAGCAGGTTTTTCAGCAAGGAAGTTAGATCGTTCATATCAACTTCGACATTAACATTGTGTTGTATTAACAGAGACAAAATGGAGGCAGCCAAAGGCTATGGAAGAGAAGCAGAATCAACTCTGTCAGACAACAGGTAGGCTCGCTGTATAACCAAAAGCAACTGTCATGAAATATACAACACGTGGAACATGGTCGACAGCTACTGTTAACTTACTTCAGTGGGTACTTACTGCTAAAGGAATGAGGTCTGGTCGACTAAGAATTGTGATGAAGGGCTTGGTGAACTCTTCCAGTCTAGAGAAGGAGAACAGAGAATGAGCTGCATTTGATGAATGCATGTGATGTATGAAAGTCAGTCACCTGTACACACACAGTATTCAACAAATGAACAGAGTCACCTTCAGTGAAGAAGAAAAAAAAACCAAACAAACCCATCTTCCCTATATTCTTCTTCCATCCAGTCATGATGCTCATCAAAGTAGATCAAGAGCACTACAATGATTTCTCTCAGTGCTGGTACACTCCATGGTTTCTGAGCAGGAAAAGAAACACAAAAAAGTCAGTAATATTTCTGTCTGATGCCTCACTGACACTGCACTGCTGAATTTGGTTTCATTCCTAAACAATAACCTTGATGAACTGTGAGTTTTCTACAGTATCTTGAACCAGGTCAAAGAGGACATGGGGTAGTCCAAGTTCACGGCTCATGTGATACAACTTCTCCAGGTCAGAGGTCAGAATGAGGTTGCATAAGATCTTCAGCGGTTGGTGAATCTGCCATGCTTCTTTAACAACACCACTTGATAGCTGACGAAACAGCAAAAAAAAGAGATTCAATACAAAATTCTTCCTCAGTAAGTTTCAATTTATGAAGAAAAACAAAATGTGCCTAATTACCTGAGCTTTAAATGCCAGAATCTTGGAGTTAAGTTGCGGTATAATAGCATTGTAGTTTAATAGATCTTTCTGCTGATTGCTTGGATCTGACTCTTGGACCAGTTTCTCCCAATACTCCTCACTGTCAACATTCTGAAACAACAAGAAATAATTAAAACTGAAGGACACATTTTCCTTTATGATAGAAAACAGTTTCTTTATTAACAGGCCACATTTGCTACTGGAAGAGGATATGAACTCTTATATAATGGAACAAGACACATTTTCTAAATGGACCATGTCGTTTTATCATTAGAAAAAAAAAAAAAAAAAAAAAAAAAAAATCGACACTGACCTGCCTGTGCGGTGCTGTCTGTCTGTCCTCATTGCATCTCCACACCAATCGTGGACCGACCTCTACAGAGGGAAATTCCTGTTCATAGTCTCTGCTGATCTGACCTCTGCAGAAGGAATGCCCATAACCGTGAACACACACACATCAGTCTGTTTTGGTTGTATATTGTATCTTTATTCTGAACTTCCTTAAATACCTGTGTTTTGATCTCATGCAGGCCTGAGTCTTTGGGTTGAGGATTTGATTGGCAGCTGCAATGACCAAGTGACCTGAGGTAACAGAGCCATCACTGGAGTGGGGTTTGGCCCTGGGTGGTGTTGCTGCCATTGCAGAGTTGGCCTTTTCATTTCCCACTCCATCCTTTTTTTTCTGTTGAAGTACACAGAACAGCTTAAAGCTCCTCCAAGAATTTCCATGGGACTTATTCAAGAAAGAAAAAAACAATTGGTGACTCACTTTTGTACTGTCACTACCCACTGCTTTCCCTCTGCTACTGTTGTCCCTCTGTTCCCTGGCCTTTCGCAGTAATCTACTCTCTCCAGAAGTCGGTACCATCTTCGCTGCCACTTGCTGAAGTTTCAGCGCCAGCATGTCTGGACTGGGCGTGACTGTCAGAGGGCTGAAAACACTTGTGTCTGACAGCACTGTGCCAACACATCAATATGGGATAGAAACAGACATCAGGATAACCTCATAATCAGACTAGTGTCGTGCACATTTAGAAATTTTCCATTAAATTGAGGAGTTTTAAGCATCACCTATAACACCATCAGCAACAAAGGGATGGTGCAGGAGGTCTGGCCACGACAACCGCTTCTGAGGGTCTTTGGTTAACAAACCTTTCAGGAAACTCTGCAAGGAAAATATCAGATAAGCATTGTGGTTAATGCAATATATCCTGTTTGTCACACATCAAAAAACCTAATAACTTGTCTTCATTTTCCTGTTTAGCAGGGTCATAGCGATCACTGAGGATAACAGGGACATGTCTTAGTATATTTGACAAAAACGTGAGAGTTTGAGTTCAATGAAGTAAAGTTTCTCCTCTGTAGCCGATGACTTTTGAAGATATATTTGACTATTTTTAAGTCAATTAAGAAAAGGAAAACTTAAACTTAGAAATGTGTTAATGGTGTCTGGGGTATAGGCGCAAGGATCTTAGAAATACTGTGGTCTACTGAATATACTGAAGTCCATGTAGGTGGTACTTGGTAAATCCTTGTTATAGTCCTGCCCTTAAGCTCTGGGCCATCTGACTGTGAAATGCCTTTTTTAGATTTACATTTGTTCATTTGGCAGACAAACTTATCCAAAGCCACTTAGAAGTCAGGGATAACACTAAAGCTTCAGTACAGTAGGAGACCTTGAAATAAATACTAAGCACTAAATCTGTTCAATAAGGTGAAGTGCAAGGAGGAATCACATTTTTATACAGTAGAGACATTAGCTTTGATCCAAACATGATACAGCACAACTAGACAGCAGCTGTACTGTACCGTGCAGGTGTCGCTCATTGTGCCTGGCCATTTTACTTGGTCTCTCACAATGAGTTGCACCAGGTGGAAGATGGAGTTAGTGTAGAACGGAGGCGCCCCCGTGTGGAGCTCATACAGGATGCAGCCTAAAGACCAGAGATCAGCAGTGTGGTCATATGGCTTTTCCTCCACCAGCTCAGGAGACATGTACAGTGGTGTTCCCTTGATAGAAGTCAGCACCAGGGTGGAGACGCTCATGGCCCTGGCAAACCTACAGGAAGATTGCATCACACATGGTTTATCTTTGTGTAAATGATTAATGAGGCTACTTTTTCTTCAATTTAATCAAAATACCTACCCAAAGTCACACAGTTTTACCACCCCACTTTTCCCCAAGAGTATATTTTGTGGTTTCATGTCACGATGAAGAATCCGATGGGAGTGTAAATAGTACAGAGCTGAAACCAACTGGCAGGCAATCTCACGGACCTTGGAAGAAGGGAAGAATGAGCAAAAGATGACCATGTGACATTGCGATAAATCTACTGTTTGACATAGCTGTGTACAGACTGACAGTGAATACCTGGCTTTCTGGTAAATTCCCATCATCTTCAAGAATCTGGAACAATTGACCCTCCGCATACTCAGTTACAACCACAACCTGTTACAAACACATGGGATTATGGCCATGGGATTATGAATTCAGATGTAAAGATAATTAGTTTGGTAGATAAAACACTCTTGTCAGAAGTCTTGTGAACTAAGATGCAATCTGTGTGTTTTAAACAGACAATTACAGTACACACACCTCAGTTTCAGTCTCAAAGCTGTCAAAGAGCTGGACAATGTTTGGATGTTGGAGACCCCTCATAATCTCAATCTCCCTCTTGAGACTTCGTAGCTCCTTTTCAGAACGACCCACCTTTGGCATGAACTTCAAAGCTACCACCTATTTGAAAGAGATAGTGAAACGGTGTGTCTTACCGAACCCATCCGAACAGACTATCAGACTATGCTCCTAGAAAAGCTACTTACCTGGCCAGTGAATCTTTTCCTACCCTTGTAAACTCGACCAAACGAGCCCTCTCCCGCCAGCTCCAAAACGTGATATGAGTTCATGTCCACGGCAGGAGGCTAACGTTACAAACTGAACGTCTTTATTGTTAGCATCGCCAAGTTATCTCTTAGGACAGTACACAAGCGGTTGCTTCACATAAGGCACCTAAATACTTGGATTAAAAAGTTCTTAACTTAACAACTAACAATTTATGACTAGCAGCCTACCGTTGGTGCAAGTGTTACTTTACCGCTGTGTGCCACTGCTCTTTTGAGATGGTAACAAAAAATATGATGACCACCAGAGAGGAATACTATCTGCCGTTTCATTAAGGTAACAGAAGACAATTCAAAGTTTGACTTGCCTCACATATATTATCAGTATTTGTATATGTGGCCTTTTAATTGTTTATTTTAACAACAAACTGTAATTTTACTAATTTCTTTACATTGAAATGCAAAAGTCAAAGCTGGCTTTTCTGTGGACAGCCCGCAAGCAGGGGTCCTTAGCCTAGCAACCACTGTTGCGTTCCTGGCAACTGAAAACAAAACAGGCGGCTGTCTGGAGCTTCCACGTTGTTAGCATCAACGAATCTTTTATTAAGAAAGTCGGAAAGCTGAATATAAATAGACAATACGATTGCTATGTGTGTATTCTCACTTCTTCCTGCTGTCATCTTCTTTTGAGTCTGTTTATAGCACACAGCTCCACTGCACTTACAGCTATACTAACAATGTTCTGATATTGTTTACATCCATTAATGTAATGCAGAAAGAGAAACTGTTGTGTTGGATCAATGCTTACTATGATTTATCCAACAGAAAGTTGAAGGGTTGGACCATAGATGTACAATAATATGTACTGGTCCTCTGTTTAAATGCAAACATGATAATTTGACCATAATTTGGTACAAATGTGACCCAAAAAAACCAAGTTTGACCATAGCCATGTATGTACATGTGCATGTACATGTGTTGTTATAACCAGTAACAAGTTGAGTAGATGTCCTCTGTCTCAGTAAGGTTTTGGTTTCCATGAGTTTTTGACGTGAATATACATGGATTAAGATTGTTGTTAATCAAAACATCTCCAAAATTTCCATGGAAGATCATTCACGCTAGCGAATTAAGCTATGTACATGTTTTACATGTACCTTTACTCTGTTTTTATTCTTTGCTTTTATAGCAATGCCAAAATGCCATCAAATTTACTGATTTACTTTAGACACATGAGCTTTATTCTAGTGCCACCAACAGGGAGAATAAATTTCAGACCCAGCACTAGAAAAATTATGGTTTGATGGTTTGACTATCCGTCAAATCCAAGGGCTCACTTACTTTTTATTTATTTATTTATTTATTTTTAACTTTTTTAACTTTTTTTCCCGGCACTGTGAATGTTCAAAAAAAGACACAAAAGATTATAATTCTTTGTGTGATATTATCTTAAGCACATTGTGTTTATCTATATTTGCGACCTAGATGAAAATCAGATAACATTTTATAATCAATATTATCAATGCAGAAAACCAGGTCATTTCAAAGAGTTCAGATATTTTACTTGCCGCTGCATAGTTTCTACTCTACAACGATTTTCATATGGAATTCTTTAACTTCATTAAACCCACAATGACTGATTTCTCAGTCACATCAGGGCAGCTGAAAAAATCTGTAAACACCAATCTCATATTACCCCCTTATAAGTTTATATAATGAATTTAGCAGACAGTCAGCAGCTGCATCCATCAGATGCAGAGCAACATTAGCTATACTAGTAAGACACAACAGGGGTCAAAGGTCAGGATACATGCTCCATCCTGTGTGATATCACTGTCAAGCTGCTTCAAGATGAGAAACATTCAATCCGTGATAAAATTTCTGTATATTGAATAAGCAAAAAAGGTAATAATGATACTCAATTAAGCCATACATGTTTTCTTCACTGTTCATATGCCATGCATCAATGTGTTATTTTGTGAGGTGACAGAAGCAGAGTGACCATGCAGTAGCTCAGACAGAGGAGGAGAGGCAGGGGGAGAGGCAGAGTCACAGCTGAGGTCAAATAATGACCTGTCTTTTGGTGCCTAAAGTGACCTGTCTTAACATTTATAAAGGGATGAAGTTTAAAATGACCCTTTCTAGTGTGTTTTGTGCATGGAGGAGTCTATTTTTCAGAAGCTGTGATAGTCCTTCAAACCAAGAGGTGGCAGCAGAATCAAAGTAACTATGACCAAAACACACTTTTGAGTGGAGGGGGACTTTAAAGTATCAAAAGTCCTAATTATGCAGTATTATATACTAATATGTGTTGCATTGATTACTATTACTATAGTATAACATGTAAACATGATTTTAATTTTGTAGTTGGTCATGTAAAGCTAATTCAACTACTTACTGTTGGGCATTTTTGTCTATTAAACATCAACATGAAGGGTCAAATGTTTTTTAAGTCTTAATGTACAAAGTTATTAGCTACTGGCTTTCAGATGGGCTACATGTGGTGGAGTAGAGGTATAAAGTTGCTTTAAATAGAAATTACAGGATAGATAGATAGATAGATAGATAGATAGATAGATAGATAGATAGATAGATAGATAGATAGATATTTTGGTGTCCAGCAGATGTCGTACGATTTACACAGAGAAACAAATCGGACCATGACACCATATACTGACTTCTGTCATGCTCACCTTATTTCAATATCTCTGTAATATTCCTGCAGCTCGGTGACATTTAAGATGCAGTGCATCCTTCTTAGTTGTGTATTAAAACGTGGGATGGAGAACTTGTTTCTGCTGCTCTGGTGTGCTGCTCTTTATGTGAGATTAAAATTCATTTTGTTAGTTTTATCGTCATAACTTGATTGGGGATTTGCGAATTATGTGGAGTCAGGCAGAGTCGCAGCGCACAAAGCTCTGGAAGTGGGAGATCAGCTAATTCATCACTGTGTGTTGGGACACGATGATGATAGGCCTGCGGTTTGCTGAGTTTCAAGTGGCCGCAGAAAAACCTTCAGCTGAGACATGCATCCAATGAGCGCGTCCAAAGACGGCCCCCCTCCAAAAGAGAGATTGAGTTTCCATATTTTTTACACATGACGAAAATGCATTAAGTCCACACAAGGCAGCAGTCGACTGAGCTCACACAGGTGGAGGATGGGATTGGGTCATGACCAGGAGGAGTTTGTTCTGAGTGGACTTGTACGACCTGCATTGTTGTAGAATCCTTCGCGCAGGATTATGCTCTTCATCCTGATCTGGTGCTGACACCGCATCCACTGAGCTTGCAGATTCAACATCATTTTGTTTTCTCTGTTGGTCATTGCATTCTTTACTGAATGCAAGCATCGTCATGTTTATCAGAACAACTTTTCTCCTCTCCTTTGTGGTCTCACTCTCAAAACCTGTTCGTTGCATGGAAAGTGAACTTTGCTTCCCAGTTAGATTGGATAACCACAACAATGACAGGAGGGATTTTGACAACAACGTGGATATCCCCAATGGAAAATGTGTCCTAAAGATACGAGCTTTCCAGCAGGAATTGGTGATCGATTTACATCAAGACTCTAATTTCATTGCTCCTTCCATTTCTAACCAAGACGCATTCTGGCTCTCCAACTCCGATGTCACCACAGACCTGAGCCGGTGTTTTTACTCCGGATACGTGAATGCTGACCGCTATTCTTATGCTGCTCTGAGCCTCTGTAAAGGTTTACACGGAGCATTTGGCTTCCAAGGATGGGAATATTTTATCAGCCCGGTGCAAAATGACACCAGAAGCGCAGAAAGTGCTCACATCATACGGCGCAGAGCCAGCAACAACCTGAAGCTCAACTCAACCTCTAGGTGCGCAGTGGACAGCGACATAAGTCTCCAGGTTGCGCAATCGTTGGAGAAATACAAGCGACTAAAAGATTACAGCAATGTGACCGAGACGATGCTGAGGAGGATGGGGAGAGCCAAAAGGTTCGCTTCAGTCCCCAGGTACGTGGAGACGCTCGTGGTGGCGGACGAGTCCATGGCGCAGTTCCATGGAGATGACCTAAAACACTACCTCTTGACGCTGATGTCAGTGGCAGCGCGACTATACAAGCACCCCAGTATTCTTAACTCCATCAGCATAGTGGTTGTGAAGATCGCGATTATATCAGAAGAGGACAAAGGACCCAAGGTGTCCGGGAACGCAGCCATGACGCTGCGAAACTTTTGCACCTGGCAAAAAAAGATGAACAAAAACAGCGACAAGCATCCAGATTACTGGGACACAGCAATCCTCTTCACTAGACAGGTAAAAATGCTTCATTTGAACTCACATTACAGGGTCTGAAGGAGCAGCAGAGGGGATAATGTGCTATTTTAGTAAGCGCAATTACGCACAGAAATGCGTAAATGATTAATTTTACAAATGTGTTCATCTTCATCATGTTCATCAAGTCACATACGAAAAAACAATTGGATGTTGTTGTTGATGATGTTGATGATGATGATGATGATGATAATGATGATAAAATATTCATAGCCTTCTGGCATGTTTATATGCTATAAGGCTGGAAACTGGACAGGCTTCCCCTGAACCACCCCTGCTATGTCAGTTAATTGGTTTGCTCTCAAAACACAGTCTCCACCTCCTGTGAACTCAGGGAGCAACCACTGGCGAATTTCCAGCCCACCAATAGCATCACAGTTTTGACACTGAAGCTAGGTCACAAAGGAAGTTACTTGAGCTGAACACAGCAACGGTCTTGATCGCTCTTCATGGATCCGTAGAGGGTAGTTTTATAGACTTGGAACCCACCTTCCAGTTCTCTCTGCACTCCCAAATATTTGGCAGATGACACAAGGTCAGAGATGAAGTCATATTGCTCACATTCATTGGTCAGTCTTGTGGAATTGGACCAGTTTGATTTCAGTTTGGAATAAAGTGGACAAATTAACAGCAGACACACATTTAATTACTGAGAAAGACAATGTTTGGATATAGTTCAGTCTGCAGTCAAAGGGTCAACTTCAGATGTATACAGTCTTAAAGCCTCTGCCACCAGAATTAAAGAATCAAAGGTAATATAATGAGGTGTGGATTTATCCTTGGCCATTGTCAAGAACATGACACGACACATGATTGTATAAAACCTCAAACAAACGCTTGTTATATGTGTAACTTTAACAAATATAATGTCAGTGCCCTCTGGGATTCACGAGTCGGAAGTGTCTTGTTTCTCTCAGCCTTTCCCATCTCTCCTCCAGCTGTGGGTTTTCCAGCCCTACCCACCACCTTGCCTGCTCCTCATTAAACAGGCCCCTGAAGGGAGAAATGGAGGGAGTGAGGGAGGGTGGATGATGTAGGAGGAGGAGGAGAAAAAGGGAAGGGGGGTTCCTATGTTGATGTCAGATATGTCCGATCCCTCTATGTTTAATGCACCACCTGCTCAGTCCAAGTCTTAAACAAGCTCCTCCAGAGGAGCAGTTCTGCACAGCTGCAGTCAGCCTGCGCAGTTGCATCTTAGCAACACATTCTTCACTCTGTCACACACTTCACACACACACTCCTCTCACATTCATTCTTTCTGCTGTAAAGGTACATACAGTATGCTCTTACTGCGTAGGCCATTATACCAAATCTAGGGTGTCACCAGGTTGTGGGATCATTAACCCCACATGCAGAGAATTAAAACTCTGTAGCCATGACGGTGACCACATTCAAGAATACTGGACCTGCTTACAGACACTGTGTCATGTTGCTCTAATTTGCTACATAAAGCCCAACAACAGGTGTCAAGGGACAGTCAGTCAGTCAGTCAGTCAGTCAGTCAGTCAGTCAATGTTTGAGTTGATATTATATCAGACTAAATGACTGGTCTAAGATGCTTTGATGAGAGGTTTGACAAACCGTAACTAAAGTATTTCAAAAGCAGCTGCATTTACTAGGATCAGTCAAACAAAGAAAATGTCTTGTCAGTGGCCTTATGTGTGAAAAACAGATTCCTTCTGATGGAATTTCTTGCATAAACTGCGCAGAATAGCCAGAGATGGGTAAATATTGTGACTACGTAGGTGCACAGAGCAGCATTCAGAGTGTACAACAAACAAGAAATGTAAATATTTAAGTTGTGTTTTGAAGTGCTTCAGCATTCATATCAAACCAAGCTGTTGGTAAATTACAACAACAGGAATTTACAGCATATATGCCGGTGATGACATTTCACTTTAACAGATCAGATTAGATAATATTAGTTTAGATAACACTGTTTTGGTTGTTTCTTGCTAACATCATTGGATCTCAACACTTCAAGGGTCAAGCGCTCCACTATACACATGTAAAAGTGCCAGGGCTTGTTTGTTAAATATTTTTACCAAACCTTTTGCAGCCCAGGCCTTTAGCCTGCATAGAGACACATTCACTGGTTCTAGACCCAAGAAAATATTTTACACTTCAGATATCAAACACAGTTTCTGCACACATGTCCACTGATAATCAAATCAGCTAAGGTCAAAAATTCACAGTCAATCTTCTGTTGACTCAAGACTCGGTGACTCAGAATTGGTCAGTTCAGTCAGTGGTATTGTCTGGGTTTACCATAGCTTTCAGTAAGCATTTAAGGCACGTCCATTGTCTGCTGTTTATCAGCCCACAGTGTAATTTGTAGGTTTTATGAAGACCAACTCAGTGTTGTCCAGAGGCAACTGCGGTTGTCTTTAAACTCTAAAGCCAGCATGATTGTTGTGTTGAGAATGTTGCAAGATAACTCATTTCATGAAGTTACACACTGAGTTTGTTGTATGTAAACAGTCGGTCTCCAAAAGATTAAATCCAACTGACAAATTTATGTGACTCCTGAGAGAGAGGGTTGGTTGAGAAAGAAAAGAGTACACTCAAATATGTCTGGATGTCTTAACCCCTGTCTGTGATGCTGCTGAATCAGCCTTTTTTACACCCCTTTAGTCTTTAGTATAAAAAACACTGATACTTTTGAATATTGCATCCAAAACACAAATTGTAATAAAGGCTTGGAAATCTGTACACAAAATGAAATGGGAACAATTCTTTGTTGAGATAACTTATTGTTTTTAAATTACAGAAACACAAAAAAATAGATAGATGACAGATGTGGGAAGTAGGTCATAGCAAAGAACAAACTCATTGACACTGCTTTTTCTGCTCCTCTGTTCATCTTGCAGTTTTTTTTTTTGTAATTTTTTTGCTCATAAATGGCCCAAATGTTGAGATGAAGTCTGCACACATGAGCACATCTGGACTAGATTTGCACCGGCCAACAATTGTGGTTTTGTGGTTTATTCTAGGAATGATTTGTCATAGCACTCGAGGTCTTCACTTGGCACCGTGCTGTACGTGTACATTCAGTGCAGCAGAGGATTGTTTGGCCTGTGTGGCATTAATCCAGTGCTGTGCTTTATCTGTAATAGCTGACCGCCACTGGTTTGTCTGTGCGTTTGAGTATGGAGAGACAGTGCTGTTTAGGGAGCAGGCAGATGGGCGGTTCTCTGTGGTGGTTACTGCTGAAGTTGTCCTGTGATTAGGAGGTTCAGCTCCAAATGGATACTCACTAAGATTGGGTTTTAAATACCTTGTGGTGAAGAAATAGGTCATTTGGAAATTCTGCTCTGGCATGGAAATGTTATGATTGGGGACAGTTACATTACCTCATAGAAGAAGGTGTACTCTAAACACAGTTGCCCAGTAAAACACTTAAAGACTGGGTGGTGGAAATCCTTGCTTAACACTATCAGATCTTTTCCCAATCTCTACAAACAGATCTTAGGGTAATGACAACAAGACGCCTTAAAGGCCCTGAAAATATTTTATCAGTCAGCTTCTTACTGTGACTGATGGGGTCCTACACAAACACAATTTTCTGCCAAAGTTACAACAGTTTTGGTTATTTCACATTGGAGATTTATGTTTTCCTTTTTTTTCCTGTGCTGTTTTCATTAGTTGAAAGTGGCCATGGCTCAGCTGGAAAAAGGTGATGTCACATATTTCTAAGCATCTGAAATAAAATCAGATGACAGTCATCAGGTTGTTTGTTGTTACTTGCTAATCCAATCTGATCAAACCACACCCACACAGTGCTGATGAGGCAGATGAGATTTTAGATTTTGAATTATAATCATTATCATAAAGTTATTTTTTTTAAATTTACTTTAACTTGGATTTTTGCAGTTTTAGTCATGAATATTTAAGATTAAAGAGAAATACTTCAGATTGGAAACAACGTTTTAAGAGACTTTAAAGGATAATTCCGGTTTATTATAACTTGGGTCTTATTTTTGTAGTTTTGGCCATCGTTTCTACCGGCATTAATAAAATTTTACTCACCAATTTAATTGCTGAGGTCTGGCAACAAGGTGACATCACTAAATAGAGGTCAGACAGGGGCAATAAACAGTCTCACCATCAGACAGCTTTCAAACTCCCATGTTAGCCAGATGTTTTTGTGTAAAATAAAGTAGGTAAAGCCCAATAACCTGCTGGGTTTGGGTGGGGGTGTCTGTAGTGTCTGAAGCGGCAAGCTCTGCTGCTTTTTTCTTTAGCTCTGACCAGCTCAAATGTATTATTGTAAATTCTGTTTTTTGTCCAGGACCTGTGTGGAGCTTCCACCTGTGACACTCTTGGCATGGCAGACGTTGGCACCATGTGCGACCCGAAAAGGAGCTGCTCTGTGATCGAAGACGACGGCCTGCCCTCAGCTTTCACCACCGCCCATGAGCTCGGTTAGCCCTGCCAGCACCGTTCCTCATCAAATATTTATATAATTTATAATTTAATAATTTCCTATAGTGTGAATGCTTATGCACAACCACAGATAAAAGCATCTGTGTATTCATGAAAGATATCTGACATCTTGTTCCCTCTGTACAGGACACGTGTTCAACATGCCACATGACAACGTGAAGGCCTGTGAGGACGTGTTTGGGAAAATGCAGGACAACCATATGATGTCTCCCACGCTTATTCAGATCAACCGCACCAGCCCGTGGTCCCCCTGCAGTGCTGCCATCATCACTGAATTTCTGGACAGTGGGCATGGTAAGTTTCCACCACTCCTGACCACTGTATTTGAGTGCAAACAGCCTCATGGAGTATTTGAAGAGGTGTGAGGTCAAAGTCAAGACAGACACATTAAACAGACACTTATTATTGAGGAATTATTGATTAACAAACATGTAGTTGGGTGCTGATCACATTAATAGATGCTCATGGGTCTGTTTGCCATTGCATCAAGAAACAACATGACTTCCATGCTGCTGTTGAAGAGGAGCTGACTTTTATTTTGACATTTCCTAATTTTTACCATATTTTTCTGGGATAACTGCTTCCTGATTTCCAACTACAATGATCTGAGGTAAATGCAAGGGAGAGCATGACTGAATTTCAAATGTGCTTCAAATGTAATATCCGCATAACCTATAGTACCATGCTCATAGAAATGACTAGCAAAAGCCAAAAAGAAAGTCATTTGGATGCAGATTGTTTGCCAAGCAGCCCAGACCACAGCACTTGGCCTCGAAGCAATGCTAACTTTTTATTTTAAAACTGCCCCCACATCTGTCCCAAATTAGAGGGCTTGTTCTGGGGAGAGTCACCACAGTGGTTTGGACAGCGAGGTGTATCTGCCCAGTGTTTCCCATGCAGGTTTACTCCAAATAGACAAACTTTTTTGCTTCTTTCTGTGTCCATTTTAGACACGGTCTGAGAACAAAAGAACACAAACAGGTCCAGAGAGAGACACATTTTTGACTTGACAAGGAGGGATTTTCTATCTAACAGCGTTGTAGCTCGGTTTCTCCTGGCTGCCTGTCATAAATCTTGACTTCAAAAAAAAGTGAAGAGAAGAAAAAAACATGTTGCCACATGTTTGAGGCAGTTTTCATGGAGTGCTGCGCCCAGAATTATTTGTAACCTGTTCATTCATCCACACACACAGACACACACACACACCCACACACACACACACACAATACAAGCTATTGTTTTCCATGATTGCTCTTTGGAGAGAGGGAGTAGGAAGGAAGAGGAGAGGCTCAGCTTATTCAGTGTAGAGTGACTTGTTTATATAGTATTGTGCTATCATTTAATCAGCACGTTTCTTCTGCCAAATTTGCGGTGAAATGGGAGGAAACAAATTTGCCACCAGTTACAGCTCACTGCCTTATTATCTGTTATGAATTCACCACAACATGAATGCCATAGTAAACAGTTCAAAGTTTCCCCCAGTGCAAATGACTTCTTTTGGGTGTGTAAATTCCCCATAAGGGTGAGAAGTTGTGTGATTTTCTGAAGGTTTCCTCCTGGAAACCTTCTCATTCACTGACGGTGATCTTTCATGTCTCCAAGCACCTGCTCGTCAACTCTTCCCATTATTAGTTTGTTCCTGGAAAGGCTTCTGTGTGTCATTTATTGTAAATGGAGTCTTGCCTTTGACCTTTGACCTGTGTGCTAGCTGCATTCCATGTTGTTGAAGAGTTTAAAGCTAAAATTTCAAGCTCAAATCTAAAGGTTTATGATTATTCTAGTACTTTATCCCTGCAAATCATGCGACGTGGGTCAGATCAAACATGAGAGGACGAGCCTGTGGGTTTTTAGGGAGAGTTTGAGGATGGGATAGGGGTGGGGGGGTGGCTGTGTGTGGGGCAATCCTGCATGTTTTGTGTGTATATATCTGTGTGTGGTATGTGGCATACACTGCATGCACTGCATCAAGCTGCACTTTCACTTCAAAGAGACCAAATCACATAGGCAATAGCTCCTCACTGCCCCCAACCCACAATCCCACCCAACCACACACACATTTCATGGGAAGGATTATCTGACGGATGCATAACTATAGAATGCATTGTTTCTCATGATTTTGTGATACTATTTTGGTGAAATGATGGAACTTAAACCTTTAATAAATGGGTGTAAGTGCTTGCAGCTGGTAAGGAAAAGCAATAAAACCAGAGATGACAGCTAGTATAGGTTCAATATGTTTCTTAATGAGTCTCCCTCTTCTAGGGGAGTGTTTGCTCGACCAGCCTCCGAAACCGCTGGTCCTCCCTGACTTGCTGCCAGGAGCATCCTACATCCTGGAACGACAGTGTGAGCTCGCGTTCGGAGAAGGCTCCAAACCCTGTCCCTTCATGCAACCACCATGCGGTCGTCTCTGGTGCACAGGAAAATCCAACGGCCACTTGGTGTGTATGACTCGGCACTTCCCCTGGGCAGATGGCACCCACTGTGGGGATGGACAGGTGTGCGACCGAGGTGTATGCTCTGACAAACACGTCCAAAATGTGAAGGTAAGATTCACACACTCAGACTCAGTTTCTTGATATCAACATGTACCAGGACTGGAATGTGATTAGGAGGGTATTTGTTGTTTTACCTTCTGTTTGTGCATTTCCAGGTGGACGGCCGCTGGGGTAAGTGGGGCACATTTGGTTCCTGCTCGCGCACATGTGGAGGCGGCGTCCAACTGTCTAAAAGGGAGTGCAACAACCCAGTTCCGTCAAATGGGGGTAAATACTGCCAAGGGGTTCGGGTCAAATACCGCTCCTGCAACCTGAACCGCTGCCCTGACACAGGTACGAGTTGCTCAAAACAGACAAGTATGTCCAATGACATTTTTTCCCCTGGAGCATTCACACCTCTCACCTTCTGTACTCTCCCTCCCTCCCCTCTGCGTAGGTAAGACTTATCGTGAAGAGCAGTGTGAGACCAGTGGCCGCAGTTTCAACAGTAACCGTATCGCCCCCTCTGTGGTCTGGGTACCAAAGTACTCTGGGGTGTCCACCGATGACAGGTGTAAACTCATCTGCAGGGCTAATGGCACCGGTTACTTCTACGTCCTGGCACCCAAGGTACACCTCAAGTGTTTTCTCTGCTGGACAAATGTAAAGATAATTTGATTGGTGATCAGACAAATGTCTGACTAAATGGAGGTTAGATTTTGAGATATGAGTCCATGTGAGAGAATGCAACTATATGTCAGCCAGCTGCCTCTGGTCTAAGAGTGAAGGAAGGAATGAAGGAAAGGAGGAGGACAGTTTATCTCTTTCAGATAGCAGGGTGTGGAGTGAGCTTCAGCAGCAGTTAGGCAGAGTTCACACTTCACTCCATCATACCGGCTGAGGAGGCCTGGATAAGAGCACTCAGGGGACACGTAGCTCTGAATCACAGAGCAGCTGGATGCTTTAACCTCAGAGTCAGGATGCTTTGAACCAAAATTAGTTTACAGTACTTCTCTGTGTAAGTGCTTTTTGTGTACAGTTTAATTCAAAACTTGAGCTGGAGTTTGGTTCATCTGGTGTCAGATTTAAGGTTTGATACATCTTAGGACGAAAACACGACCGCAACCACATTGAGTGAACTTATCAGGCACATATTTTCAGACGTACTAGCTGTGAGGCCGATCTAGTTGACAGACATTTAGAGATCAGGATGATATATATTAAGAGAACTGTTTGCAGCTGACTGTAGCGAAGATCAAAGTATCAAAGATCACAATATGAAATAAAAACAGCTATACAATAATAAATAGCAGCAGTTAACGTGTATGTGCAGTCACATGAATTACTACTTAAGATTTCCAGTAACCTGCAATAAAGATATGAAGCAAAGTAAGCTCACAGGGACTGTTATATTAGAGAGTAGAGTTGTTTTTTTTAATGTGTGTTGGATGATCTGTTGTGTCTGCTTCTTGTGACTTGAGATTTTGGCTTTCTGTACTTTATAGTGTATATAAAAAGCTAACCTTAAAGTGTGTTTGTAACCTCCAGGTTGTTGATGGGACTCCATGCTCCCCAGACTCCACGGGAATATGTGTCCAAGGAAAGTGCATCAAGGCTGGCTGTGATGGAAAAATTGGCTCCAACAAGAAGTTTGATAAGTGTGGAATCTGCGGCGGTGATAACAAGGGCTGCAAGAAGGTGTCAGGACTCTTCACAAAGCCTGTGTGAGTGAAAGCCACAACATAATGGGATAGCCTTTAGAGAATACTGTTTACATCACTTTTTTTTTACTCCTTACATACACATGATAGCAATATCAGCCTCACACCTCTATTATAAGCTCTCATTGATTGTAATATGTTTTGGCATGCAGGCACGGCTACAACTTTGTGGTCATGTTGCCAGTGGGTGCAGCCAACGTAGACATCCGTCAGCGAGGCTACAAAGGAATGATGAGTGATGACAACTATCTGGCGGTGAAGAACAGCGAAGGCTATTACCTGCTCAATGGGAACTACGTTGTATCCGCCGGGGAGAGGGACATCATTGTAAAGAGCAGCCTGCTGCGCTACAGCGGCACAGCTGGCCTCTCTGAGACCCTGCAGGCTGTCAAGCCTCTGGGAGAAGCCCTGACTGTGGAGGTGCTGTGTGCAGGCAAGATGACACCTCCTCGAATCCGCTACTCCTTCTACCTCGCCCGTCAGGCCAAGGAGGACAAGACTCTGAAGAAGGAGGGGCGTATAAACTCCCACAACAGTGTCCTGGCTGAGGATAGTGTCAAGGAGCAGGGAGGAGACACTCTGAAGAAGTCTTATAGTAAGGAGGACCCTGCTCTTGGGAAATGGATATCCTCAGCCTGGGACAAGTGCTCAGTGACCTGCGGCAGTGGTATCCAGAGGAGGATGGTGCAGTGTCTGAGACTGGACGGGAAGCCGGGGTTGGACTGCGATTCTTCACAAAGACCCTCAGCCACTAGAGTTTGTGGAGATCCATGTCCTGAATGGCTTATTGGGCAGTGGTCACCTTGCTCCAGAACCTGTGGGAAGGGCTTCAAGAGACGACCATTGCACTGCAGAACCCAAGTTGGGCATTTGCTCCCCAGGGACCACTGCACTGGCTTACGCAAACCACAGGAGCTGGACTTCTGTAACCTAAGGTCTTGCTAGTGACAAAAACCAATAAACTACAAATGTTGGTCTGAGTCGAATCCAGCTGCAAGTATTACACACACACACCATGTCTGTCAGGTGCAGATTTTTCCGCCTGCCTCATGGGACTGTTAGAGGAGGACGGACACTTGCTTGGAAGTTCAATGAGAATATTGGAAGCAGAGTGAAAGCCGCAGGATGAATGCTGGAAGATATTTTTCACTGCCACCACTCTGACTTCACAGTACATTATTCAGGTCTAACTCAGATGGCAAATAACATAACAGAGGGTCAAATAAGATTTAGCCCAATCCCTTGTACTGTTATCAGATACAGAATGCCCATTTGCAAGTAATCAATCTAATTTACCTTATGAGTCAGGATCCTATTTTATGCCATAATATTTTGACGGTGCAGGTTTCAAAATTTTGGTTGGATCTTGCAAATAGATCAGTGAAGCCTGCTGATTTTCCAAAAACAATACTCCTTTCATTCCTTTTTTCAAAAAGAAAATGTAGCAGGATTGACATGTACTATAACTTTCCACCAACTGGACCAAAATGTAATGCCCGTGTGCTGCACAACACTCTATACAGAGAAGGACATTTTGCGCTTCACTGGCCAAGTTTTTTTTAAATTTTTTTTACTTTTTTTTATTTCAGGGACCTATTTAAATCTTGGAATGGTATTAGAAATATAACAGATTTACAGTAGTATACTAGTTTCAACATATTTGGTATGCTGTTGCTGCGTTATTTATCTAATCAAAATATATATTTTTAAATCTGTAGGATAACAGCTGTAGCAATCCGAGTTAGATGGAACAAATGATAGATTTCTACAATAACAACCACTTTATCTTTTTTTTTTTTTACTCCTAGAACTTTCACAAACAACAAACAATAAGGATGGAGCCAGCATTTTACATCTACACAGAGCCCTCCTTCAAAACTAGGAAGAAATCTCCTGCCTTGTAGACGTTGATTTTCTGCAGACCTCGCTCAGCACCAGTCACGGAAACAGTTTAAACTAGAAATCTGAGGTCACACTGGTGGCTTTCATAACAGATCAAACCAAACAGTGCAGCACAGGAAACAATGACCAGCGGTTTGCTCCCTGTCAGCTGGTGTAGCCGCTAGCTCAGTGATTTCATCAGGCTGCACCCAACATTGCACTGCTCATCGGAGATATGGCCTTAGCCCGATATCTCACATATACACACACACTCATGTGCACAGACACACAGAGAAACACATACACACATATACTGCATTCAATTCCTGCCTTCTGTGTTCGAAATGTTTGATTGCTTCCTTCATTCGACCACATCAGTTGTCTCCTCAGTTCATAGTGTTCAGCCAGTTGTGAAGTCTGTTATGTCATGCCTGTCTGGCACAGTTTCCACAGATAATTTATTATCAATGAAACAATAAAGCAGAGAGGAGAAGAAAAACTGGCAAGCCCTCTGTTATACTGTACAGAATACGTGTTTGCCTGGATCTCCTTGTTCATGGCCCCACAGCCTGAGCCAAGATGTTCTCTCTACACACTCGATGAAATCCTGTAATCCATTTATATTCTTGTTTTGTTTCTTATGGGGCCACGTTGTCCAGTCTAACACCTAACCGCAGGATGGATCCTCCGTTAGTTGGATTACTATTTTTATTTTTTTATTTTTTTTATCAGCTTTTGCACTTTGTACAGCAAAAGAAACCAATGACCTACATGGGCTGTACTGTATACTATGTATACATTTATTCAGCTCTTCGCAAAAAATTATGTACATACTTTTTTAATCTTTTTTTTTTTTTTTTACACAGACATTTGTAATTGTCTTTGACTTCTGAATATTTATTCCAAAAATAAAGCCATCAATGAACAGTTGTAACTTATACTGTAATTTTTTTTCAAATCTGTTATGGTTCAATGTCAGTATTGGGGCCTTGTCACAAAACTTTCAATTCATTCCAATGCAATTTCTACAATTAATACGTCCCCTTGTGGGTGCAACGTAAAATGTATCCAAATTTTTTGTACCTTGAACTGTGAATTGACGCCTTTGACTAATAGCAAGCTGCCCTTACAGTCCTGACCACAGACTGTATGATATACAGATATATAAAAATCATCATAGTAACTATGGTCCTGACCTTTGAGGGAACGGAGAGCCAGAGAGTCCAAAATAAGAGGAGCCATTGTAGTTTACTTCACTTTTATTTAACCTCCTCTGCTGGAGTATAAACTCCACTAAAGAGCAGTGGTTTATTATGCAGGAGTCCATGATACAAATATCTCCTCTAAATTAGCTGTGTGAACTTACTGTCCTGTTAGCAATCAAGCTAAGCTAATGAGCTAACAAGCTTGCAAACTTCCCATTAGCAAGCTTGTTAGCTTGGAGAGCTTTATTTTCCCTCTCTAATGATGTTATATTGAATTAAATGGCTTACGAGGTGTCGTACTGGTCAAAAGTTGAGTCACAGAGTCAGTGTCAGTGATGTGATCCTGCCTGACAGGCTGCTGGACCAATGACTGAAATGTAAACAACCCCATGGAGGTTAAACGCCTGGGACTCCCCACCATTCAGTCTGAACTGAAGACGCGTTTTGGATGAGAGGTGAAACATCTTCAAGAACCTAAAATCTAAAAACTTAAAACCTCTAAAATATTAACCTTCATTTGATGCTGCTTAGAGACAAGTATAAAAGTATTTTTTAACAAATTCATTGTGTATTTAACTGCATAAATCAAGCATTTCAGATCCCTCTGATTAAATGAATAAGAAAACCACATTTATAAGAAAGCCACTAAGATAATCCAGAAATTTTGAGCATTTGTTATGCTTTGCCTAAAACAATAAATGCTGAAAACACCCAAAAAGACTTTCTTCAGTTAAATGAATGCATATTTTTTCCCCAAAATGTATTATAGGCTACTGCCAGAGGGAGAAAAAAATGACAAAACCCATGCTGAGCAACCTTGTAGAAAGGGTCAGCATTACAGAGGAAAGAGAGGAAGCAGATGAAGGGTGGACTATAAAACATGTGCCAGTACATACGCTCAAGTTTTCTGCTTCCTGTCTGTGACATATTGAAATTAATTACCAGCTCTCACATCTGCATCCACAGTGAGTGCATAGGTGAGATGGGTGGCCAGCATGCCTTGTAGCATTTCACTGCAGCCTATAAACTCTACTTTGCCATGCATTTGTTTCACGGTTAACATTTCAGATGTGCAACTACAGATATTTTCCACTGGTTGGTGTGCACTCATTCTCCATGTCTGTGTCTATGACCACTCCAAGAATGCAGCTGTGTGTGTGTGTGTGTGAGAAGGTGGAAATTTTGATTTGTGCAATTTTGACATGATGACTTAGTTATGTCTGAGGACTTTGAGAAAAAGGTCATAGTCTAGCATGGGAGGTCCTGTGTCTGACATCTTATATGTAAAAAAAAGGCTGAATAGTCTGACCTACATAAGAGCAGATAGAGGAAAAACTGGGGGAGAGCCAATGGAAATATTTATTTGTTCCCTGAGTTGCCTCTTGCCTAGATTCATATCTAGTTTCAGGTTTGATGGCTTTAATTGAGGCAGACTCCTTATCAAAAAGAATGTTTGGTTATAACAGCTTCTCGAGTGAAGTTTTTCATTTGGAAAAGAAGTATCATACACAAGGAGGCCCATGTTATATTTGAACATAATACTGTAGGGATTATTGACCCCAGTTTCTAAATCAGTGTGCAGTTTGTATAATACACATTTCCATTAAAGTGAAGATTTATACGTGTTGTTCTTCTATATTTTTACAAAAGAGGAGAGCTTTTGTAACATTAATTCCACATTGTAGAAAGAGGAGGGAGGGATAATGGACAGAGAGATTATCACATAACTGCAATTCATAGCTTGGACCCCATAATCCTTTGAAAAATAATTCTAATTATCTACAATTTGCATGTCATATGTATGTGTAGTTTGGGCCATGATTCTTATCAGTAATAATAACACCTGACTAAGTTACAGTACTTGCTGGAATTTAGGAATAGGATGACAGGTTAGAAAAAAGGTTAAAAATAACCCAAACAAACAAACAAAAAAAAACTAATCTCTAAAAGAAAATACATTTTAAATTATTTGTATCCTTACTGTAGGCTAATTGTGTGTGCACACAGTTTTAATGTGTATTGAAGGACTTTTCATCTCAGGCCAAACTGGTGGCGAGTTTACAACCCAACTGATCTTTTAACTGCCTGTGGGGTTTTTTTTCCCAGTTAGATTTAACTGTAGAGATGTGTTGCCAGATAACCAGACAAAACTACTACCACTAAATTAGAATTACATTTTGTCCTTGAGCAAAACACTGAACCACTAACTGCTCCTACTGTTTGTACGGAACAAGTCTTACCACTGAGCCAGCACAGGCTTTCCTTGCTTGTACTTTGATTTAACTCTGCCAACAGTAAGTCCTGTTTCACTTACCACTGCTGCAAGGCCTTGACTTTGAGCCACAGTTTTCACCAGCAGTGCATCATTGCACTTCTTGTTTGAAAGAAAGAACCCTAACTCCAAATTCTTTCGCTCACTTTTTATAGTTCCCCACCAAGGAAAGGCTTACCCCTAATTAGTAAAACCATTATAAACTCGTGAAGAGCTGAGAATTTCTGGAGGTAATTACAGTGAAGAGCCTAGTGGCAAATTTTCTATGTGGCGTCTTCTGTCTGATCAGCAGCAGATTGTTGTGTTTGCAGCTATTTGCTGAGTCAGATGGACTGCACACCACAGACCATTTTAAAGATACCCACTCTCAAAGAAGTGCTTTGTACACAGTCCATGTAGCCTAGTTCTGAATGAGTACATGGAAAGGCCTGATGAGTAGCCTCATTAATGTGCATCTCTGAGGAGGTCTGCTGACTGCAGCAGGAACAGGATCTGTCTGCAAACAATAGTGATGACAGAGCCACAGCTGACCTCTGCTCATGGAAAACTATTCTAATGATTTAGCTTCGTGTGGCTGAGTTGAACTGCATGACACTTTTTTGACACGTCCGGTTTTATTGTGGGGTTGTGGCTTCGTTAGCCACCAAACATTATAAACAAGCCAAAAGCAATTCTCTCAACACAACATGATTTAGTCCTCTGCTTCACTGCTGAACTCAGTGTCTATCGAAAAACATGTAAAAGGTGAACGTTTCTTGGGAATTTCGCATACATATTCACTTAAGATGAAAAACTTGAGACCACTCGCAGGTCCGTATGCTAAATATGTAGCTACCGACAGCTAACTGAGCTTAGCATAAAGACAGGGCCCAAAAACAGCTATCCTATGGCTCTGTCCAAAGGTAGCAACACGTTATACTGTCTTGGAGCCTCTGCTGGTTGCCTGGTAACTGGTCCCCTAAGTTAGCCAGCTGCAAACACATAATCAGGCCGTGTGTCTTTCCATACCTAAGAATTAATGTCTCAGTCTGGGATGCATTTGTTTGCTGCCCGTAGCTAACAGTTTGATGTAAACATTCATACACTAGTCATATGGAAACTCTGCTGGAAAGCTCTCTGATACCTCTGTTGATACAAAACTACAGCAATAGTTGACTCTTATGGCACAGTGTGATTGCAGCACTGTGGCTCAGCTCCAAGCCTAACAAAGATAGTTTAATCACCTGTCACTGTAACATTCACCTTCGACCTCGCTTGAGGGGAAACATGTATGAGGATAAATGGG